CAAGAACTAGTACCAAATTCTTGGCTATATATTAACATAGAGATCCATTAGTCTACCATTAGTTCTTTGGCAAGGTTTTTAAAGTAACTTTTTACCAGTACAAAGTTTGTCTTTCTGGAAGTATTTAAAACTTAGTGCATGTTTGTAATCTGTACAGTCCAAACTTCTCACATAATGTATTATACTTGATGGATTCTCCATGGAGGTGCCTTTATACAGCTGTAACACAATTTTATATTGAAATCAGTACACTGAACCTCACCAAGGAGCCGACACTAAGTTAGTTGAGCCAGAAAATGCAACTTTAAACTTAGAATTTCTGCATGACCAATCTCAATGCCTTTCTTAATAGAATACTTGGTATTCCATATTTAGTTCAATTGAACTTTCAGTTCAAGTCCAAATGATTTGATTTCTGAAGTTAAGATTTTGCTTAGCTAGCAGCTGCAAATCTTTCTGTATGTAATTTGGCAATGTAACCTACGCAGAAAAAGAAAGCAAATCTTATTTTTTGAGATGCTTCCCATATGAAATCTATAATGATATTTTTGTAAGAGTTGTTTGTACTTTGAAACTTGGGGCTTGAATCACAACGAATCAAACCAAGCCTAAATAAACCATACCCTTTGTTTTTCAGGGAGATATAATATGCTATTTAAAAATCTAATGGTTTATTGGCTTCTTACAAACTGGCCCACTATAGCTGGAAGAATGTGCTAAAATTACAATCCTGTACGTACACTTACTTTTCAATAATTATGTTGTAAACACTCTGCCAAATTTAAGCAAGCATATCAACAATAAACATTAAACTGATCAAATATTTTTTTCATCATCGTATATCTAGATCTATGCACTCTAGGGCTATAACCCAAGTCAATTAATTTTTAATTGCAAACAATGGATTGGAACAAGATATTCTGTTCTACTATCAGATATATCCTCAATCCAAAATATACTCAAATGAAGAGTTTTACCCTATCGTCTTACAGCAGATTTTCCATGGACATAGAGAATTAGGGTAGGAGACAACAAATATCAAAAGGCAACTTTTTATCCAGAGAAGATTTCTACTGAATTCAATCCAATATTTCTATAGCAAGAAGTACATTTTGTTTTTAAACTACAAATGAGCTATGGTATACATCATCTTAACATAGCTTTCATTCAGAGAATACAAGTCTTGTCATTCAGTTTAATAAGCACTCATGTTAAAAGATAATTGCTGACCAATCTATTTTTTTTTTTGGTAAATTGAAGATTTTAATCAACAGATCTAGCCAGTTAATTGCCAAGACTGTGATATAAGCACATTCCTTTAGAAAATGATATTTGCATTGCCAAGTATTCTGTAACACCCTTGTAGAAGATGCAGGCTATGTTGGATTGTTGTTGGGTTTTTTTTTTTTTATTTCCATTGAATTTATTCCCTTTTCATTGAACATATTTCTTCAGCAGCAAATTGAAATAGATCCACAGCAACTGGGAAAAAATGAATGAGACCTCAGAACTACAAGCTTATCAATCATTATTTTAAAGGCCACGAGCTATATCACAGCATCAGATACAGAATCAATAAGAACATAATACAGTACTGGATAGTTATTTTTCCTTAAAAGAAAGAAAGGTTGCCACATTTCTTCCTAGCATTCGTCTGCAAAATAAATATCAAGAACAGAGAAAATGACTTCCGCTAAATGTTCTATGTACTAGAAGATAGTTTCTGATAATTTTTTCCCTCAAATTTCACAGGATTTATTTTTATATATATATAAAAAATAGATATTCCAGAGATACCTTCTTTATTGCATGAACATATCTTTAGTTGATATTCCTTTAAAACCACACCAGATGCTTTATTTAGGAATACAAATTTGTCTATAAATGCATAAAAATAGCTTTAATGGCAAGTTACGAATGATGCAAAGTTACATGCAGTACTCACTGGTATCTATCATGGAGTAAATAGCAATTTTGCGGAGGAGTAGTTCTAAGAAATGACAGTGGAATTTAAATAATGGAACCCCAATTCCTAGAATGTTTTAAGGCTAACCTAAAACAAAAAGAAATTAGAAATTCCACTGGGTCAGATAAGGAGTTTTGAAAACCTTGTTATGAAAGTTATTCTGCAATGGCAAATGAAATGGCTTTAATTGTGTGTGTGCAACAATACAATGACAACACTTCTCCTGGTTGTATGCGCATACTTTTGACTGTGCCATGGCTCTGGATAGTGCTTTACATCTGGTGCATTATTTGAACCAGGATCTGTCTGTTGCTGAATATAAGAAGAAAAATCACCTGTTAATCTATCATCAAGAGATGTTGTATTTTCTTACACTCACATGCAACATGTGATTCTACAGACCATTAGAAACCTAGGCTGATTTTTCCCAATAGTGAAAATTGGCTTAACCTGCTTTTCTAAAGCTACCTTACATTTTATGAGATTGTCAAATGTTGAGAATTTTCTATGCATTCCAATGCAAGAAATGGTAGTAGAAAAAACCTTTGAAACCAGAGCAAAAAAAAAAAATTGAATTGAAAAAAGGAAAAGAAAACAAATGAACAGCATGGAATGAATATTTGCTCTTACAGTCATTGACCATTGCTGTAGCTATCATTCAAGTAATTTATAGGTGCATTAATGTTTGATTTTTCTGCAAAAAGATTTGTGGAAAATCATACTGCTATGGCTGGGAAAATCCCAGTGAATTTTCAGTTCAGTCTTGAGGGTTCCAGTACCTACAAAAAAGAAGCTCGGATAAGTTTCCTTCCCTGTTCTTCATAAATTCATAATGCATCCTAGAAAAGATCCAGCTCTTCTCTGCAAGTCAATATTATAAAGGAAAAATTAATAAAGAAGTCTCACTGATTTTCTCACTTGGTTGCTTCTGATATTTTTTTTAAGACAATTTGAAATGCATAAAGGAGTATTATTTCCAAACTTGCATTTTACAATGCAGTGGTTTAAGAGTGAGGCTATGATATCTGGGCTAAATAAACTCTAGACAATCACTATATGGTATCTACAACATTTTAAAAAAAACCTCTAATTCTTTGCAACCACTTAGTGATTGTCTGGGTTTTTACAGCTGAGTGATGATTTCCTAGAACAGGGGTATCAAACTCAATTTCATTGAGGGCCACATCAAGGTTGACCTCAGGGCGCCAGGTGGGCATAGCTGACTGGGTGGGCATGGCCAACTCGATGTGGCTCATATCTGGGGTGGCTGTTGTGGCCCGAGCAGGGCTGAGGGGATCCATTGTCTCCAATGGAGAAAGGCAAGACCAGAGTGATCTCCAAACCCTTGTCCACCAGAGGAGCTTCGCCATCCCTTTCAGGCCATGCAGAGGACCCTTGTACAACAGTGTGGGCTGCTAGAGCCCTGGGCAGCAGTGGGCAAGGGCCCAGCCCTCAAGCTCCCAGGGCACTGGGGCCCCATAGCTCAGCCCCACTTCCCCGAGGGGGCACCCAGCTGCGTTTACCTCCTCCTCAAGGCTGCTCTGCTGTGCTTGCTCTCCTTGGCCAGGTTGCTCATGTTGGGTGTGGGAGGGCAAAGAGTGTTGGTCAGAGGGAGGCCCATTCTGTCTCCTTGTGAGGAGACCTGGCTTGGTAACCAAAGCATCCACAGTGATAGGATGGGAGACCACCAGGAGAGGAGAGGATGGTGAAAGGGCAGCAGGGCTGCTGGTGGCCAAGTGCTAAGGCAGGACTTCCCTCAGACCCTTTCTCCCACTCATAATCTCCTTCCTTCCTTCCTTCCTTCCTTCCTTCCTTATCCTTCCCTCCCTCCTCCTTCCTTCCCTGCTTCCCTCCTTCTCATTCCCATCTCCATCCTTCCTTTGTCCTCAGGAAGGTCATACTGGAGGCCATGCCACTGGCAGTTGTGGCTTTCCCATGCAGGGGCAGTCCAGGTAAAAGGGAAGCGCTCCTGTGCTGCAAGGCCGGGCTGGCAAATGGGCCATGAAGGCCCTGGTGGCAGGTGCGGCACTGATGTACAACTTGGTGACAGCTATCTGGGGTGCTTGGCCCCACCCCCTGAGCATGCGCACAGGAAGCGGTGAGTGCACAGAGGCTGGCATCCTAGGTGAAAGGGAAGCACCCAGAATGCAGTCAGGCTGAGGGGCAAGACAGTCACCAGGGATGCCAGGCCTCACGTGCTCACCGCCTCCTATGTGTGCGCCTATGGGGTGGGGCGGGGTCAGCCCCTCACTGCCTCCAGGACAGCCTGAAAATCCAAGGCTGACAGCATTCCAGCTTGGATGACCATCATCAAATTGTAGATCAGTGCCTGGCCAGCCTGGGCCAGGCCAAGGTGCCGCAGGCCGGTCCTTTGCTGTTTCCAGGTGGCCCTGCGGGCCAGATCTAACCAACCACATCGTAGGCCAGATCTAGCCCGTGGGCCTTGTGTTTAACAACCTGCCCTAGAATTTCACCCATTATAGTTTTTTAAATACAAGATAAATACATCTTAAGAGCAAAGACACTGGGAATAATTGTTCAGGACTCAGAGCAATGCAAACACAGCTAGAAGTTATACAAATGAAGCAGTCACTCCATCACCTCATTTATGTGACCTTTATCATTATGCCAAAATCAGCTACATTGGTGTTAATTATATGTATCTCTCTTCTTCATCACCTCTTCCTATCAGACAGCACAGAATCTGCAGCCATCACCAACCCTCAATTTCAATACAATATTATGAAAACAATAGTAGTAAAGAAGCTATATTTATACTTTCCCCCCATATGAATGTTTCCTACAGGATAAAAAATGCAGGTCATTCTTAAACCATACCTGTCAAGGACCAGGCTTACTTTCTTTCTAATAAGTAATGACAAGTATTTTAAATGTATGAACTTTGGTTAGATTTTTTTTTTCAAAAGGAGAACACAAACACACACACACAAAACACAGGACAGGCATCGAACCTGGGGCAACGTGATGGTATACTTTGCAGGGGGTGCCACAGAAACAAGTTCAGTCACAAAACAGGTTGACCGTGCCTTCCCACAAGATAAAACTTTATTGTGTAGTTTCAGGAGAACAGGACTGCCAGTATTCACAGTTTACGATGCTGAGCACATCCTATTTCACACAACATTGCTCCACCACTCAATGACAACCTTCTGGATTGACCTTATTTAACTCAAACAGAAAAAAGGATTTTTCCCAACCTGTCTTTCTTTATTATCTCTATCTTTGATAATACTTTGATTCAGTGGATTTCTAAAAACATTGTTTTCTGTGAAGAATCCAACCTTTAAGCTCCTTTTTTTTAAAAAAAAACATTCTTTCAATTTTTTTTTTAGACCTTCCTCAGGAGGAGGGAGAGAAAAACACCTCTTGCTTTCTTGCTGAAGAGAAGCTATCTAAGGAGCTGCAAGACCTCACTGCACCCGTTCAGTGAAATTCTCTGGGAAAACTCCCCGGCATTGGTCGAATGCTTTATGCTGAAGCCAATCAGATTCTTTCACACCCATCAGCCATCCTTCATCCTGGCAAGAGACAGAAGAAAAAGAGAAAATGTTGGTACAACAAACACCAGGCATTATTTGTCTCGAAGTTCACTGAAACTGAATTTTAAATCAAATGATAAAGTTATGTACTGGTGATAAAATTATTATCATTAATCACAGCACTTGTGAACAACCCTTGTGTTCCTTCTCATCCTTCCGGGGTGCTTGCAAGCAGGAAGTGCAATACAGACATACTCTTTTCCCACAGTTGTTCCTGCAACTGGGATTTGGAGGCAGGCTATTCCAATACTGAGTCTTCAAGATGAAAATCACAATATCTCATGGCAATGAATTCTACAAGCTAATTATGCCTTGTATGGAGCAGTGGTTTCTTTGGTCTGTCCCAAATCCCTTTCCAGTAGTTTGATTCTTGGTCCTAGTGTTTTGAAAACTGTGAAGGAAATTTCCTTTCCTTTTCCCATGCCATGTATGATTTTATATGTATTTATCTTTCCCTGAAGTTGCCTTTTTCTCAGAACCTATCTACACAGGCTCTGACCTGCCAGTTATTTTGTATATGTCCTTATATGGGAGCCTCCATCTCAGAGCCAACCAGCAACTTAAGTGGGTTGAGAACGGATCCAGTGGCAAACAGGAAAAACAGTAGAGACCTTTTCTATGCATCAGTTCATCAGTGAACGAAAGAGAAGGCTGAAATAGGTTGATGACCAACTGGCCAGCTACAGGACTGCCTCCTTCCATCTAGGCATAGAGTTCTGTGCCTCCAAGAACATTTCTCCTTTGGTTGCTGGAGAGAAAACCTTCCCCAGCAGCCAATTCCCCGCCCCCAGCCCCACTTTTTGGCTCTAGTGGGAGTATTGACCTCATCAAGGTATTCCCTAAGGTTGATATTCCTACCATCAAAACCCACTGCCTCTCTCCATAGTGTTCCTGACTTTGCCTCCATGGTTTTTGGAGAATACTGCAACTTCCGACTGCTGGGAGGGAGGGGGCAGCAATGCTGGCTAGCAAGCATTTGGGTAAAGAAGAGTTCACAGAAGAGCTACCTCTAATAAAAGAATCTAGTCAACTAATGGTCAAAATTAAATTGGCGCTTGATATGGGTCAACAGAATTTGTGTGGGGGGGGGTGGACTTAGGTTTCTTGTGGCAATGCAATGATTCCAAACTGATGACACATTTAACCCCACTTTCCAGCTCAGCCTGCTTTTCTCCTACAGAATGCAAGCAAATAGAAGTGACCCTATATGTATAGCTACTCAGAGAACTGGAGGAAAGGTTCCAAATCTAGAGGAAGCCTTCTACAGATGAGGCATCCTTTGTAATGTTTGATGCAACACTAATGTTTACAATGAGACTATAGGAAAAAGCATGCAAACAAAAAGTATCATTGGCTAAGAACCATTTCTATTTCTACTTCACTCTCTTTACAAAAATGAATGAATGCAATAAAGACCTATAAGAACACAGTGCCGTCTACTGGCATTCAAAAAGAGCATGAATAAGACCGAGAGAAAAATATTGCACTGATAGCCACCATCACAATTTTTAGACATTTGTAGGGCAGAGAGAGGGATGAAAAGCAAATATGAAATAAGAAAACAGCAGAGAGTACAATAGCGGGTACATTAATTCACTTTTTTTACAGGTAAATTAAATTACCTTGAGATACCGTAATTAAGAGGTCCTTTTTTTAATACTTAAAAAATATGTTCCTGGTTGCAAGGGCAATGAGACTCTCTGCTGTAGTATTCTGATTGCCTTTTTTCTGATCTAATTAGATAAACCTAATATTACAGACTAATATTTATATATATTATAATTTAAAAAGTAACACTAAACAAGGATAACCTCCTTAGTTGGATATTGGATAGGATTAGGAAATTCAATAATCAATATTCATCTTCCTATACCGTAGATCTCTGTTAAACCACATCCTTCTCATGCAATATTTGCTTCTACATAGGAAAATGTCATTTTAAAGAAATAGCCTACTATTTGAAGAAGTAGAGATTGATTCATTATCATGTCTATCAAGAGGTTAAACTGAAAGGTTTGACTTACTGAAGGCCACATAGCATGCTTCATTACAGAATGCAGATTTGATCTGAAATCTTCTTGAAACTGGACCAATGCAGGACTTCAAAAACCATGTTAGTTATGAGACATACCTACTGCATTATCACCATACCTGCTCCTCTGGATTTTCAAAAGGAGTCACCAAGACCACATCTCCAGCTTTCAGCTGCAATTCATCATTGTCAGTAGCTGCGTAATCATGCATGGCTTGTACCTGCACAAGAATAATGATTCCACAGTTAAGAATTAAGGGGGAGATCTTGTTTCATATCTATACATATCTAGTGCAGCTGAACCCTTACATACTAACTACACTGCAGTCTGTCTGCTGTTCCATTTCTCCTTAATCTGTTTAGTATTCAGGAAAGGTCTAGGATACATGATGATTGTACTTTTAGGGAAATGAATTGATGCTGTCCTGCAGATTATGATTTTATAGTTTCATTGCTTCAATTATTTTTTGCAGTTATTTTGGGATAGTTTTTGTATTGTTTCTTTGTAAAAGAAGTAAGTAAATAAGATACCAATAGTCTTAGTAAGAGTCTTAGTAAGCCACCCCAAGTCACTTGACAGTGAGGCGGCATATAAATTGAAATACTGTATATACACATACACGCATACAGACTATTTTGGATAGAATCTGTTATTGAATTTCTAAAATCTAATACTTATTTTATTTTATTGTTATATATGTGTGTGTCAGGAGTGGGTTCTACTTACCTTTACTACTGGTTTGCAACGGGGCCGCACACATGCGCTCGCTTCGCTCGCTCACGCGAGCTCTTCTGCACATGCACAGAAGCGTTTTGATCACGTCAAGGTGGGTGGGTGGAGCCTCCCTCTGGTTTTACTACCGGTTCTATAGAACTGGTCCAAACCAGGAGCAACCCACCACTGGGGTGTGTGTGTGTGTATGTGTATATACATATAAAATAAAATAAATATTAGATTTTAGAAATTCAGTAACAGATTCTATCCAAACTAGTCTACTCTATTTACTTTCTTTCTTCTTTCAACAGACAATAATTTATCAGCATTACATGTGACACTGGTGAGTTTCCTGTATCCAAACTAAACTCATTTAAAATTGTGCACTGAGTTCTCATAAAGGGCTGAGTCAATTTTCCATCTTACAGCTTCAGTTATTCAAAACCCATAGAATGAAATGGCTGCATGTCTAGGATGAATATTCAGGTGCATCTTCACCACAGAAACTTACCTTGAAGAGAAACCCTGGTGGCATGTCAGACCTTTCAGAGACAACTGTATTCTCATCGGTCCCATTAACTGTGGCAGGGACAGTATCCACAACTACAGTTGGCAGAGAACTCTGAAGGAAATAAAACAGGGTTAAAGGCACCAAAGTTAGGCCCAATTGAGAAAAGAACATAGAGCAAACCCACTCTGTAGCCATTTTTGAAAAAATGAATCCTTTATTGAAATATTCATTAGATGTCAGTATTTTGTGGAAGTTAGGATTTAGGTATGAGGGGTGGCTGAGGTAAATATAATGACTTATGAAAAGATGGAAAGGAGACCACAGAAGGCAATAAATTGTAGAGGGAAATTGGTGTGCGTAAAGATTAATGGAGTAAATAACAGATTCTGTTATTACAAGACATTTAGGTTTGTAGTAATAGGCAGAAATTCTGGTCAATTTTCTCCCTCTTTTAAAAAAAAATCTAAAATCAGTTTTGGTGTTTATCACGGATCTATCCAACTTCTGTGTCCTCGGAATCATTCTCATTCCCAGCAGTAACAGCTGTTTGTGATTTTGTAAGGGTATCAAATTGTAACTAGACATGCTGAACAAATGAAAGTTAGCCTCAACAATGAAAAAGGGGGAGGTCCAGAATAAGATGGAAAGAGCAGAGGCCGATGTGATAATGATACAATATAGAGATATGGAATTTGCTTTGAGAATAAGAGGCCTCAAAGAAAATAAGCAAGAGAATTTGAGAGAGATTTTTTCAGAATCATTTGCACAGATAATGGGAGACCAAAAAGCAAATCTTGAATGGCAAATTGACAAAATTTACCGTGTCAATTCATGGGTTGCCAGACAGAAACATCTACCAAGAGACATTGTAGTTTATTTTACAACAAGGAGAATAAGCAATGAAATCCTACAAGTCATTTTTAAGAATAAACTTCAAGTGCAGGGGCAGGAGGTTTTAATACTGAAAGAAATCCCCCCCAAAATGTTGAGAGCCAGAAGGGATTATGGCTTTCTGGTGGAAGAACTGAGAAACCGTCATACAGTACAGATGGGAGGTTCCAGCTGGACTAGTGGTGAATTATTCAGGAGAAAGACATTGTCTTAACTCAGTGTGGAAGGCAAGAGATTTCTACACCAATGTACTAAAGGCTGGACGCCCATAGTCCCCAGAAGTTAGAAGGAAGATGGAAGCAGAAAAGGGGGCAAGAAAGGGGAGAAGGAAGAATTATTGGCACAGGCTCAAGGGGGAGCTTTAATTACTCAAGAAGACTTAATACAACTTTCAACTACTGCTCAGGCTTTGGAGATATTCGAAAAAATAGAAGAACCTAAGTATCAAAGACAGACCCGAGCGGCAGCCAAGCGTCAAGAAGAATTAAGAGTGCAGCAACTCCAGATGATTCAAGAAACTACAAAAACAGAAGCAGTGGGAGGAGCAAGGCCAAAAAGTAAAATGCATGGAGACTTCCAGCAGATGCTCCAAAAGCTTCAGGGGCCCAAGAATGGCAACTAGATTTTTGACCTGGAATGTTAATGGCCTAAATTCACCACAAAAGAGGAGAAAAATATGGAATGGGATCTAAGAGGTCTTGGAGGTTAAATGAAAATCTGTTTAGATATGAGGAAAACGTAAAAGAATGTAAAAAAATTATGAAAGAATTTTTCATTATAAATATGCATAAGGGTACATCTATGGAAATGGTTTGGGATGCAAGTAAAGCATATATGAGAGGTATTTTGATATATTTGACTAATAAACATAGATGTAAACAGGGGGAAAAAAGGAAGAATTTAGAAGAGGAAATTAAAAATGTGAATATGATGATGCTATGTATTATCATATATGGTGGACGTGTAAAAAAATTAAGGCATTTTGGATAAAAATATGGTGGATTATTCAAAATATTCTCAAAAAGAAGATAAAATTTACTCCACAGTTCTTTTTGTTAGGTATAATTACAGATTGTACTGTTATAGAGACTAAGTTGATTTTAAATTTAATAACAGCAGCCAGACTCTTGGTGGTGCAGTATTGGAAGAAGGAAGACTTGCCTACTATTGAAGAATGGATACTAAAAGTAGTGAATTTAGCAGAGATGGCCAAAATTTCAGCAGAGGAGGGAAGGGGGGGGAAAGAGGGATGGGAAAAATTGTTGTAATACTTGTTAAAACTTTTTAATAAAAAAAGAAAAAGGGTTGTTGTTTTTTTTAAAAAAATGTAGGTCCAGATGTTGGGCACACATAAAAGTTCCAAGATGATTAACTGGGACTGAAGCAGATATATTCTTCCCAATTCAGATGAATTGCAAATGCTGCAGGAATATGTTTAGCTGTTTGCATCAAAGAGACAACCATCTATGGATGAATAATGGGCTTTGTTCTATGGTCCAAATTAACAGAGTCTCCAATTAGGGATTCAACCCATGGCTCAGAAAAGCTAAACATTTTATCTTCAATGGGTTCACATCTGCTCATATTAAATATGAATAACAGTTAGGGGAGAATGAGACCCCTCCTCCCTCTCCCTTGCCTAGGATCTTACTGAGGCAGATCCTGAATCAGTTTCGGGTTTAGCAGCTGCTTCAGCTCCAGCTGTTCCTCCTTTGCCAGCTCCCTCAGCCTCAGCAGGAGTGGCTTCTGTAGGCTGTAACACAAAAGCAGTTAAACTTCTGGATCTCAAAGTGCCTAACCAATCCCATGCCTTTGCAGAGAATTGCCATGACCTGCTCTGTTTTTAGGGCTGATTTGAACTATCGGTTTCTGAAGGTCAAAGCTGAACTGGGTTGATCTCTTAGATGAATAGCCATGTCCATGCTGCAAGTTGTTTGGGATCAATAGACTCTCAATTTGTGTACTGCATTGGCAAGCCGATGTTGCATCACCTTCATGAGAAGCAAATAGTTTTAGGCTAGAATGTTAGCTTTTTATTACATTCTTACAGTTGTCTTGTCTGGGTCAAGCTCGTCTGTCCTCTGATATTTCTATACGTGAGATTTAAAGGAATCTTTTCAGTTCCTGGCTGTAGTGTTTCTCTTCTTGTAAAAAACAGAAGCATGATTTGACTATTCGTATGAAAGCTACCCAATTAAGATTGCTTCAACATTACTCAAGGGAAGCAAAGTTGTACACCTTCCCATCTAAAAATATTCTTGGTAATCACCTCTACACCTTTCCACAGCTAGGCTCCTCTTCAACATATAAATCAAGAGCATGTCCAGGATTTTCTGATGTTCATATAATTGCAAAATGTCAGATTATCAAAATGTTTTTTTTTCCCCATCATCATTATTGCTTCTATTCAAGTGAAACCTACCATATCTGTTCTAATTCTCTTAAATAAAAGATTTAAATGTGGCTGACAAAGAGACTGGAGAACTAAAAAGGAATTATGATTAATTCTAATTTGGCAATAAGCTTTCTTTCAACAATAGCAATAGCAATAGCCCTTAGACTTATATACTGCTTTACCATGCTTTACAGCCCTCTCTAAATGGTTTACAGAGTCAGCATATTGCCCCCAACAATCTGGGTCCTCATTTTATTTGGCAGTTCAAATCTCACCAGGCTCAAGGTTGACTTGAGCCTGGTGAGATTTGAACTGCCAAATTGCAGGCAGCCGGCAGTCAGCAGAAGTAGCCTGCAGTACTGCACTCCAACCACTGCGTCACTGTGGCTCAGTGACCCTGCTCCTTTTTAAAAGCAGCTGTTAAGCAAATCATCATGATTGTTATCTGAATCCAGCTTCCCCAATGTTTTTTTGCTGGAAATCACATGAACACAGGATGCTGCTACCAGTCATAAATGTGAGCCAGCTGCCAAACTGTGATCACGTGACTGTATGGGTGGTATGATGGTTGTGAGGGCAAGTACAAGTCATCAGTCACTTTGTCCAAGATTGCCATAACTCTGAACCATCATTAAATGACATGTCGTAAATCAAGGACTACCTGTATCCAACAAACCTGTCCTCAGCTGTAATTTTCAAACTAACATCATGAGAAGCTGATTAAGACAGCCTCCACAAATTTGTTCCATCTCTTTTTTAAAGCCATTAATTAAAAAGTAGTATTTTTGTTGCAGAAAGTAATGTTGCTTTTGTTGGTGCTGGGTGATGATCCAGAATCTTGAGTCACAACTTTAGTGTTATGAGGAAAAAAAAAATTCTATTCTACACTATGAATAATCTCCTTCATTTAATAATGTTTTTTTTCTCAAACAACCTTCCAACCTCCAAACAAAACATACATTATTAATATATTGAAAATCTTGAACATTTCTAAAAAGAAATATAATTTATGAAATCAGAACCCTGAGATACTCTATAATGTACATTAGTATAGATTATCTTACTATACCAAATTAAATACTATGCTATATATTACCCTGTTTCCCCATAAATAAGACATCCCCTGATAATAAGGCTTTTGAGTGCATGTGCTAAAATAAGCCTCCCCCCGAAAATAAGCCCTCCCCAAAAATATTTAAATGCAGAGCTGGAAATTAGGTAAGACGGCAAGAAGAGCCCCATCTTGCTCCATGCACCCCAAAATAATAAGACTTTCCCGAAAATAAGGCCAAGCGCTTATTTTGGGGTTCAAAAAAATATAAGACATTGTCTTATTTTCGGGAAAACATGGTAGTACAAGGTATAACACCAGGTTGTGTTATAGCCGTGGGGGAAGGGGAATTCTAAAATCCCAAATTAAAGAAATTATTATCACTCAACTATAGATTTTGGATTTTCTTTTCTTAGTAGATAGTAAATGAAATGAATGCCCATGCAAACTTAAAATAAAAAGTCTTCCTCGAGCCTGAGTTGAGTTCTGGTGAATTTGGGGGACATGTTTTAGTAACTATTTTTTGCTTCTGGCCTCCAGAGCCTGGGGAGGCCATTTTCACCCTCCCGGAGGTTCGAGGAAAGCCTCTGGAGCTTGGGGATGGCAAAAACGCACCTCTCGCCGTGGTGCAGGAGGCCGACTAGGCCATGCCCAACATGGCCACGCACACCCAGCAACCAGGCAGAGAACCCCTTGCTAAAAATTTTGAAGCCCACCCCTGAGTAGATCCCGCCCTATTGATATAATAGGAATTAAATTCTAATTTTGTTGGAAATGACGTGTGCTAAATAAAGAAGGCCAAAGAAAACCAGCAACCAGATAACGCCTAGTATGGAACACAGCAATCAAGAAAGAAATTTCTGAACATTTGTTAGTTTAACCTTAGCTGGCTGATAATCTGAGTAGGCTGATTGGCCAATCTACCACAAATGCACTATTGCTAAAATTATCAGCAGGAAACAAATTCATAAATTTGTTTTATGAATTTGTTTTATGAAACAAATTCATAAATTGCATCTGCTGAAGGGATTTTTTCCCCCAGGCAGATATATAAAATTTAAGGAAAAGAGAGAAACAGAAATTGGGCAGTAGGAAGAGAAAGTAATGGCTACGAGAAGATACAATAATGAAAAATACTGTGAGAAGACAGACAGTGAAAATGTTCCAGAGTAATTAGATATGTTAGGCTGTTAAGAGTCAATTGCTTTATATTTAATTGGATAATTAATAGGGGAAAGGCAGTGCTATATTACGTATGCAACCAATCCTGTAGCAAAAGTGTGAAATTATTTTGAAGGGTGGGGAGAGAGATTGGGGAAGGTATGCAAAGTTAATAATATAGCAGTGCTATATTTAATTGATTTATTAAACACATTTGTATGTCACCATAATAAATAATGACTCAGTGGCTCACGTAAAAAATAAAATGCAAAATAAATCCCATATAAAAATAAAAAATACAACAACTCTACAAAAATAGAAAGAGAATAACAGATGACAATAACAATTCAAATGAGGGCAGACTCTCTCTCAAAAAAAAGCTAGTTCTTTAAAAACTTGCAGAAAACCAACAGAGAGGGAGATAATCCAGTCTCCCCAGGGAGGCTATTTCACAATATTGGTTTAGCAGTTGGAAAAAAAGCAGCACCTTCTTCCCCAATCAACTCCAAACTTCCTTAAATAAGAATTTTGGTATTTCTCTGGGGTCCTTGGTGCTCTATTTGCTTGGTTGAAAATTGCAAATATTCTCTTCTCTAAGCATTTCTGTCATTTTATGTGGACTCTCATTATATTGCTGATTCTATTTTAAAAGGATGCTTGCCTTTTATCTCTAGTTGTCCTTTCTCCTTAAAATCAAAATCTTGCTGGAATATAAAGAATTAAATTTGAATAAAGAAACACTGTAGTCTGCACATCCACCATAAAGAAAATCAGATTTCCAGTGATTTCCTGGATGTTAGTGTAAATTGTTATTTTATCCTAAATAGATCTGAAGGACAGATTCTGAAATAACTTCCCTGCAATGTCTGGGATTGATATCTCCATTTCTAACTCATTGTCTACTCAACATAAATATCATTTTTTCTAGGAGGAGAAAGCATGGAAAACCCATTAGTAAAATACAGTTTAAAGAGTGACAATTTTACATTCCTATTGAAGATGGTTCAGAATCGTGTGCAATTTAAAATGGACCTAGGGTTTCACTGATACTGATATTTAATGGAGGAAAACTATTAGTAACTAATAAGTCACAATCCAAATAGCATAATAAAAACACAACTTGAAATTAAGTGAGATATACACAGCAATCACTTGTCCAATAATAATTGCAATCCCCTTGTTAATTTAAAGCTATTAAACCTACATAACCTGATTATCCCTTTATCATTACATCAGAAAACAATAGCTAGAACTAAACATTATAAATGAGAGGAAATCAGAACAAGGCTTTTAAAAATACAGGAGCATAGAGAAGTAAATTATTAATAGTTGATAAGCACTGATTCTAAAATGCCTGAATATATTAACAAAATTAACGATTTGATAGCACTTGACATGATACCATTGTCAACTTCATTTCAATACAAACTTAGAAACAGTGATAGATACTACAGAGTACCATGATATGAAACTAGAGCTGTTGAGACATTACCACATGCAACCTAAACCAACAAACAAAACTATGCTACCAAAGGCATTTTATCATTGGAGAGACAGTTTGGTATAGTCATTAAGGCATCTGGTTAGAAACTGGGAGACCATGAGTTCTGGCCCTGCCTTAGGCACAAAGCCATCTCTGTGGTCTTGGGCCACAAACTTTCTCTCAGCTTTAGGAAGGAGGCAATGGCAAATCATGGCAAACCATCCTAAAACTGAGAGAAAGTTTGTTGCCCAAGACCACAGAACTGGCTTTGTGCCTAAGGCAGCGCCAAAACTCATGATCTTCCAGTATATTGTGTGTGTGTGTATATATATATATATATGCTTATAAAACATATTTCCTTTTAAAAAGTAATTCTATGCCTAGAGTACCATGGGATGCATTGAACTTTCTCCAGAACACAAGGGAGATCTCTTCAAAAATTTCATTTTCTATCATCCTTGACAACTTCCAAAGCAACAGCTGGAATATCTGAGATCAAAATGGCCAAAATGGGAATGTGGGAGAAGAAATGACATCCGAATACTCTAAGGCTTCCTCTACACCTCTGCCATGTTTTCAAAAGGAAATTTTGACCAGTCATTGCTCACACTAGGAAGATATTTTCTATCTAAAATATGAAAATGACAAAATAATGCTGTTCCTTATACTTCTAAATTTGCCAGATATTTCTACTGTGGGAGTATCTAACCAAGCAACTGGATTGTTACCGTCAATGAGAATAGAGGCTCAAGATACACATAATGGTCTTTGCATAATAATGGTGCTAAGTAACATTTACAAACACAAATGTTACATTATAATTTTGCAGTGAAAGTTGTATTAATAGAAATCTTACCTCCCATAAATCCCAAGAGAAAGACTAAGCATAGCAAAAAGCAATGGGGAAAAAAGCATTAAGTCTTTATTATTTCAAACAACATAAAAAGTGCAAACATACCAAATAGCCACAAAATGTTTAGTAATGTCATACATTGAAACTAAGTAATGTGGTTTATAGTTTTGGATAGTCCATTTCAGTAGTTAAGACTTGAAGGACCAAGTTAGGAACAGATCCTCCTGGAGATAATGATTCTATGTGGTCAGTAGACATTGACCTATTGGGCCATGATCAATTTCAGTTCTTTAAATATTTCAGTACTCAAAAGGAAGATAAGATGGATGGATGGGTGGGATCAAAAAAATCCGAGTTACAACTAAATATGGTACAAGATGAAGAGTGTTTGCCTATGCAATCATCATGAGCATCTAACTCAATGGCATCTAACTAATAACTCTATGATATGCCTGATTACTATTTCAGACTTAACCAAATCTGTAATATTGCAATTTGGCTAAAGACAAACCATTATTCCCCTCTCCAGCCCTTTGCACTATCTGTAATACAAGATAGGAATATTCTAAGAAATAATAGACGCTCTTAAATACATTAAATAAACACCAAATATTACTGCTGATCAACAAGATATATGCAAGACTCAAGTATGCATTTTAATCACCAAGAGTTCATCTGTCACACCATACAATTCGCCCCATAAGAACTCATAAAGTCTTTACCGCCTGGTCATGGAATGAAGGAATGACAACGGGTAAACCAACCTGAGTAGCAGGTGTGGGTGACTTCCCTACAAGGTTGTTATCTGGTTTAATGGGATCAAAATCCAGATCCAATAGGCTGGCTCCCTCCTGGAAAGACCCAGGGGCATCAAACTTGGCAGCATTAAAGGAAAAAAAAAATCAGTATTTTTAGACAGTTGAAAAAGATGGATGGTATGCGGAAGATGTTATCTGCAAACTGAAGGTGCAAAAGGTTATATATTAAATATATATTCATATATGTTGGTTGGCTATAATGTGCTTAACACTTCTGCAAATAGTAGATCATGAAATTCAAGTATTAACATTTTACAAAGCTCAGGCACTGCATTTGTTATGCCACTGTCCCAGGCTGCCTGTTAGATCAATTTCAAGTTCCATACATCCAAACAAGGATTCTTTGACTCTCTCAGGCGTCACTGCTTCAAACCCTATGGTGGACCTATAATCTCCAGCACACCTGTTGTATTGATACCACATTTCTGGTTATCTTAAAAAAATGATTGGATAGCACTTTCGGGGAAAACCTCTAATTTAATCTCACAATGTTTCTGTACCACTATCTTTTTCTTTCTTTAAAATCTATCTCTGGTAACTTACTTGTCTGAAATGGTATAGAGCAGTATTGGCAAACCTTTTAGACACCAAGTGGCCAAACTGCGTGCATGCGCATGCCCAAACTGAAAGGTGTATGCATGCGCACAAACCTGTGCACGCGCCGACATGTGCATGCACCAATATGCGCACATGCCGACATGTGCACACACCAACATGCATGGACATGCGTGCATGCGCAGCAGAGATCTGAAAACCAGCTGGCTGGCAGGAAGCGGGGCATCCCAACACCAGCAGTGCGGCAAGAGGTAAGATCTTTTTGTCGTTTGCAGGGAAACAGAAGCTCACGAAAGAAACACCATGGAGATCTGACCTGGGGCAACGGCGCACGTGCCAGCAGAGAGGGCTCTGCATTCTACCTCTGGCACGAGTGCCATAGGTTCGCCATCACGGGTATAGGGCTTCCTGCTTGAGCAGGGGGTTGGACTAGAAGACCTCCAAGGTCCCTTCCAAATCTGCTATTCTGTATCTGTATCTGAGTGATTCCTCTACTATTCTATCATATTAAGGCAGTTTGCTTCCTGGGCTCTTATTTTGCAATAATAATAAATTACAGAAATACCATAAAAATTTAGGATATATTGCATCCAAGCAAGACAGAAATACCAGCATCCTCTTATTAACAAGCAGATCATATAATCTTGCCAAGTGATACTATTAACAACATTTTCATAATATTGCTTAATGTAATTCAAGAAAACTAAATCATTTCCTAATTTCTACTAGGTAATACAAAATAATTGTCAATACCAAATATCTACCAAAAACGTAAATATATCAGTTAATGGGTATCTGGAATTTTTCAACTAAAGCAATCTAGTAATATATATTTCTAGATTATTATATAGCATATTACTATAATTTCTTCATTTTTACTTTCTTTATAAGAAGAAGAAAACCCACTGAAATCCATTCAACTGAGATGTTTCCTGTTCCTTCACCTCCACAATATAAGCATTAAACATTCACAGTTAATCTGCATTTTCCACTTAATGGTCCTGACAACAGTTTCTTTGGAAATAAAGTCCAATTCGTGTATATGAAATAAAATTTTAAAATGAGGTCATAGCCTGCTGGATTCTTACCTGTTACTTGTACCAGATGTTGAAGACTCTTCCTCCTTGACAATTTTCTCTATCTTCCTAAATAATTGACCCCGCTAAAAATAGAAATTGTCCATATACCTATTGCTCCCCATCCCTTATCCACTAAAAATTCAAGTTGTTTTCTAAAGATACTCTACAGCTCAAGTTCCTACACTCTGAACCTCTCTCAGTCAGAATGTTCTGTTTATGCAAGGGTTTTTACACAAATACATACAATACAAAACATGGCATAAAAAATGCTTGAGGCATGCTACAGGGAAAGGATAGGAGCAGACAAGGATGGAAAGACTGATCAGTGGCCTACGGCTTTCTCAAACATTAAAGCATAGACAAGTTTTGCAATTGTAATTCCTGAATGGAAGCAATTCTGTCAAAAAAAAAAAATCCCATAAAGTTCAAATTGTCTATTTTTTATCCTCAAATTAAAATAGCAATGCTTGCTTGTGTGTTTAATACCCAGACATAAATTTGTCTTCTGTCTGTCACTGAGAACGACACTCGATGTGACATGCTTACTCCAACCATATATGGGAGTTTTTAAGGGCTAGAATCTTTGTACATCAGCATATACTTTAGGAAAAATAGCAACCCAAAAGATATCTTGTTTTTTTCCTCATGTCTTTTCCCCATTCTATATCCCAATAACTTCAAAAACTATTTGGACGACAAGGAAAAAAAAAAACCAATATCTAAAACTTTTGCCAACTTCTATTCTTATAGCAGTTCAGAAAGTTTTTAGATAGAGAAAATAATATTGTAAGCTTCTGCAAGGCCTAAATTTTATTGAGATAATAAACCAATATCCCAAGTGTAACACTTCGGTCTGTAGAGAGAAACACAAATGTTAAGTATGTTCACATGAATGAACTGGTCATTTTTTTCCCCTTTCTTGAGTCTGAAGGTCTCTGATACTTATCTGAGGCTCGCTGCCAGTGTTAGCACATGTCAGGATGATTCCATATTACTCTTTGTCTAATACTAACTGAGAATTAAAGCTTTACAAAAAAAGAGATTGAAAACTTGTTAACAGTCATTTTGTATCTCATTGTGAGTGAAAAGGAAATTCTGATCCACCAAACTATTGAACACTACATGCAGTGTCCATCTGCCTCTGTGGGGTGTCCCATCACATTGGCAACCTGAGGCCTACACTTGCCTTTTCTCCCAAATTCAGGCCTTTCACGCAAAGTTTCAGTCGCCGAACAGGAGGAAGAGGTAAAAGCCGCAGGCCACCGTGCTGAGGTAGGGAAGGAAGAATGGAGTCAGGAAACATACATTCTAGAGGTGCCATTGATTGCTTTTCATGAATTTCTTTTTTTTTAAAAAGAGCATTTATCACAATGATGATGATGAAGAAGATGATGATGATAAAAGTTGTGAGAATGAGGCCAGAAAACTGGTCAGGCTGCTTTTTTAATCTCATCATAGTATCTAAAGTTGTGTCATCAAAAAGAGATTCACCTATTGATCAGGTAAGTCCCTTAAGCAAATTTGCTTTTAGAGATTAGCTTGGGGGGGGGGGTCATGAGATTCTGATGGGCTGGTGAATGCTAGCAATTTGTAAAAATAATTAAATGCAAAATCATTGGGCAAGGGAATGACGTCTCTCAGTATAATCCCAAAGCTTCTAAAACCATTGGGGGAAAGGACATTTAACATGTAAATAATTGCCAAGAAGAACTAGTCAACCCATGTTTGATCTGAATAAACAAGGAAGGCTCTTAAAAACACAATAAAACTTCAGGTTACTCTTGCACAAGCCTTTAAAAAGGCACAGTCCTGCCCATATATTAGCTAAGAAAAATAGCAGCACAAAATAATCTCAGGGCCACTGCCTTTTAAAGGAAATCAAACAGGTGGGCTCCAATTCACACTATTCACACTATTCTTTTAGCTAGAGGAGACTGAAATGTCAAGAACTTCATTGGTCTAAGGGACTGTCAAACATTATGAACCAAAGCTCACCATAAAGAAAAATAATGATTTCCATTGGGGGGAAAAAATAAATACACCACTTTTAATAATTGTATTTTAATTAATCAACCACTGCCATCTTGCAACAGTCTACTGCAAATTCATGCAGACAAAACAAGGAGCAAAGTCCAGACTGAGTTTCGACGGTGCTCTGACTTTGTCTGGACAAGCCATGGCAGATTAAAAAGAGGAAATGCGCTTGGGTTGTCCACAGCTGCCTGGGAGTTCCAACCCATTGTGTGGAAATTTCTGTTTAAAAAGCAGTTCCAAGTACTGGGATCATTTGATGTGAGCATGGTTTAAAAAACTGTTGTCTTGTTTTCTATGCCTTTTGCATTCCACTAGCTCCACCCACCCACTTTTCTTATATTTAGTTTGGAAATCCTGGTGAAGGACACTACGGAAGAAAGCAGGTGCTCTGTTTATAATGCACTTTCTTTTCTGTTCTGTTTCCAGTTAAGAATCCACCAATGTTTAGGGGTTCCAATTCACTATACCTTTGGCCCAATTCAAACCTCTTTGATTGCTGACCTTCTGAACAGTTTTCTTGGCTTGACACCTCTAGTAAGGAAAAGAGGGAAAAAGTGGAGGGGGAACAATAGAAGAGAGGGCAAGAGAGGGCAGGAAAGAAGGAGAAGCTAACCTGTGAGGGGGTTGTCACACTGATCTCTGGGACAAAATTGTCATCAAACAGGTTGATGATGTTCTCCTGCTTCATCTCCTTGGATGGAGTGAGTTTTGGAGGTGGTGGCACAGGAGGGCCTTTCCTCAACTGCATGCAAGTGAACACATGGCCACGGCACAAACAGCGACACCCAAAAAACCAGAGACAGGGAACCAGGTTAGCAAAGTAAAAAACAATTGCACGCTTGTATTACATACAAAGAGGGTCAGAACAAAAACACATGGCAATAAGAGGAAACAATCACACTCTTCCAAAAAGCTTTGCATCATTAGTTACACTTCAGTCGTGGGCATCTTTCCCTTCTGCAGAAGAGAAGCGTAACATAATTAATGTGCATAAGATAGGACATGCAAACATATTTAGAGTCTGCGCAACTTTCTGGAACAACAAGGTAGGAAATTGCATATTACTATTTTTTTATGTTCTACAAAGCCAGGGAAGCCTAGCAGGCCTACTTGTGCAGAAATATCTACTTCCATAGAGAAAAGGGTTTCTAACCAGCTTTGACTGATTCCAGTGCAGAAGACTCCCAATAATGTAAAACTCAATCGTTATTATAATAATGTGATAATAATGTTGCCAATGGGGTAGTTTAAACATTACTCAATGTTAATTAATTGAAATGAGATCTGATTATTTTGGAATCATGATATCACACATAGCAGTAAAAGAAATTAAGCTGGTCTGAGAATCCCTGTTCTCCTAACATATTTACATCAAGGATTTTGATTTTTGATATCCTCAGGTACACAGCATCACACCAATAGGATTTATTACATATTGATTTTCTCGTCTGTACTATAACATTCTTTCTCAGATCTCTTCACAGTCTTAAATTCGTTGGGATGAATCTAGGTAGAATGTCAGAGCAGTAAGTTGATTTTCAAAATAATTTGATTGTTCTAACAATGTTTCTCAGTCAAAGATCAAATCTACTCTGCCCTCGCTAAATATGCCTAAATAGAGGTTTTGTAAGAATAAGCTACTAATCATTGACAAATTTCTATAACTGGTATGTGCTAGGTCATGGGAAAGGCCAAGGGACAATTCACACACTTTGTACACTTGCTTTTTGGCGAGCTTGTTCTAAATTTGACTGCATCAAATAAAAGTAAAAACACATTTGTGCAGAGAAGAAAAAACAATGATGTGAAAGATAAATAATAACCTCCAGAAATAAATGATAGATTGTTTTTCAGAATTTTTCAAGAACCAGTGCTGATTGAGCAAAATTTCATGACTTCCTTAGATCTGATATGGAATCAGATCACCCAATTCTATTTCTAACCCTACCTGGGTTATCTAGCAAGGATTGTATAAATCTTTTTGAAGTCCTTTATAAAATGAATAACAAGGTAATATGTGGTGTATCCATCCTGGCCCTCCTTGATCTCTCTGACCTTCAATACCATCATGATGTTATCCTTCTGGGCCAACTCAAGGGATTAGGGGTAGGAGGTATTGTGTTACAATGGATCCCCTATTTACTCCAGGGTCAGTTCCAGACAGTGTTGGTAGAAGGAGAGGTTAAGTCTGAAGCCCTCATTTTGCAGATGTAAGTAAATGTTTATTAAATGTTATAAATAAATAATTAATTTGCCATTTCTATTTCCTTTCATCTCTGTAGCTAAATTCACTCTGTGGCTAAAACTCTTGGGATTTATGGTATTTTCCTTCCAATAATATGGAGAGCAATGTACAAGTTTGGCCATGGGGAAAGTATTCCAATGCCTGTCAGAAGTGATATTTGTCAAATATGTTGTGGGAGTAAAGGTTCTCTTATTAAGCCATCATCTACTGTAAGTCAGGAAGGATCAGAACTCATATCCTTTTAATGCTAGATATTCCATCATATCTCTCTCCCTCTCCCACTCCCTCCCCCCCCCCCCCCCCCCCCCCCCCCAGAAAACCCATGGTGCTTCATAGCTTAGTTGATTTCAAATCCTCCCATTGTCTCAAATATCCAGATTCCAAATGCAACAATTCATTTACAGCACAGCATAAACTGTAGAAATCTGCTTTAAGGAATTTTGCCTCAAGTGTTTCAGGTCTTCTGCTATTTCCAAAAATAGGATCTGTGAACCTTGCAGCATTTTGACACTGTTTTGGGACTTGGAAACCTTAAAGGAGTTACCTTCGGTGCTTAAGCTTCTCTGCATTTCATATGAGACAATTTCCCTTATCTGAAATTCTCTTTCAAGTCTTAAACAAACCTTCAAACTTCAACTGTGCATTCTTCTCTAATGATTATGTCTTTTGCACTACAAATCATTGGCCTATCTCTTTCTATTGCAATTTCAGGGAAGAACTATCCCAAAGAAGTTCATGTCCCATAGAAAGGTACACATTGCCATTATATCATGGGACTGGGTCTGCTTGAATTTCATCTGGTATACTCTCCTTCCTGGTCCTCTTTTACTACACTATTCAATGAAACTAAATTCATGTGCAGCTTCATCTGTGTCAAATGTCACTTACCATAATTAGTCCTTTTATTTTTAGAGCAGCATGGCTGAATCCCATAAAGGATCTTTTTTCCTAAGTGGGTGGTAGTTGTGATTCCATAAATTATTTACTTGAGTTAGCAATCACAGTGAGAAAACAAACATTAATTAATGTTTATCCCTTCGTGTTTATTTCTGCGATAGGGCTAAAGAATTGCAAGAAGATACAATAGTATATATAGTTTGGAACTAGTTGGCAATAAAAATGACTAATCCATTCCTAACTTGATCTCTGATCTCATTGAGTTTTGTATATTGAAACTCTGTCACTCTCATTCTTCTTTTATTCGACTCATCTGCAAGCAACATGATGCCAGAGTTACAAATCAAGATCCTAAAAGAAAGATCTTGAAACATCAGTCAGCAATGTTTCACAAGACCAGAGATGTTCATTGCAAAAAAGTAGTCTTGTGTTCTATCGATATAGGGTCACATCCTCTGCTAAATTTATATTTAGGTCAGTACTTCCTTTTTATGACCTGGCAATTCATAGTTTGCAGCAGTGGTGAAATCTATTTTTTTTTGCTACCGGTTCTGTGGGCGTGGCTTGGTGGGCGTGGTGTTGCTTGGTGGGCGTGGCTTGGTGGGCGTGGCGGAGGAAGGATACTGTAAAATCTCCATTCCCACCCCACTCTGGGGCTAAACAGAGGTGGTATTTGCCGGTTCTCTGAACTGCTCAAAATTTCCGCTACTGGTTCTCCAGAACCTGTCAGAACCTGCTGAATTTCACCCCTGGTTTGCAGGTGACCATTTTAGGATATGACCTATTTAATGTAGAGTGAGAGGATTTTTTTTACAGAAATTGGTATCTGATCCCATAAGAACTTTATTATCTGTGTAAGCTTTATTCCCTGCCATTTACTGCCAGTGTTTGCATTTCAAGTGTTTTCATTTTGAGCATCCTGGGTAGATACTGCAATTTTATTATTCTTTGTTTAAATCAGTTTAAATTCATTGTAATGAAATGGCACTTCATCAGCGGATTCTTGGATATTTATATTGCCATTGTCACAACATTTATAGTTGGTTCCGCTGCTAAGTAAACAGCTGTTAACAAGGATTTTAAATTCCCTAGCTTAGAGATCATATCGGTTTCTTCTTTTATGGAATTATTTTATAATGTAGTATTATATCTGTTTTTTCATTTTCCAGTTCATCACTTGCAATCTTTCCATGCTTATCTGAAACTTACATGCATGGATGTGATTCTACATTGTATTTGTCTTCTGGGGGCATTCACGGACTCTCATTGTCTGTTGCAGCTGTTTTGTTACCTTTTCTGAAAACAGCTGCATGCTTTTCTTTACAGCAGGCACCTGAACTACTTTACAAAAAGCGGAAATGAATATAAGAGTCTATAAAGTCCCTACATAAAAATTAAATTAAAGCAATTTCACATTAATTAGCATCAATGGGATGGTGAAAACATACTAAGTATCATGTTTAGCATTTCTTCTAGATCTACATAATAGATTTGGCAGTATAATAACTGACTCAGTAAAAAGATTATCCTTTTGAAATTCACATTTTATGGTCAGTTTGTGGCAGGACAGGATTAAAACCAATTAATCCCCAAAATACTGCCCTTCCCTGAAAGGCATGGGAAGGAAATAAATGTGATAAAATCACAACACCTTCAAAAAAAAAACTTTAATACTTTAGTCATTCACCATGTCAAAGATAATGTTTTTTTAACAATGCAAATTAAAGGGAAAAAAATGAAGAATATGGATAATTACAAAAAAAAATTGACTCCTGGTTGGCCGGGAACGAGTTAAGAGCATGATACAAGAGAGGGAGAGACTCTGTGGTGCCCCCCTTCCCTTGGGGTCTTAAGCATGTAGTTACTTTGCTTAATGGTTAATCCAGGGCTGCTCTGTTGAGTTGGAGAGAATACTTGTAACATGAGAGAATAGACATATAGATCCTGTATATAGATATATATCCTACAAGTGGTTTTCATAGCATTTTAGAGTGTTCTTAGAGTTGAAAAGTTATACTTCTCTGCCATATTAATTTGGATTTTGGCTTTTCACATCAAGCTGCTCTCTTATTACGTTATTTGTTACCTTTTATCCTCAGAGTTTTGGTACTATTAAAAGTTCTTGCAATTTTTCTAAAGTGTAAGGTTTGTACATATCCCACTGAATGGGACATAGTCTACACCATACCAGCCTTTTGGGAGAAGATTAATTTGTTTGAGCTTTTGCTTTTTTTTTTCTCTTCCAGCAATGTTATTTTATATTTGAATAATGCATCCTTATAATGACAGAGCAGTAATTGCTCAGTTTTATTCTTTTATGGTGATAGATACTGTATTCCAGCAAGAAGAACTAGAAGAGAAAGATAATTTTTTTGTTCCAAATTAAATATTTCATACAAGTACAGAGATGTTTTAAAGAGGAAACTATCTTCAATGCTTTATGCTATTCACAGGAGGGAAAGCATTCTGTCAATGCCTCTCAAATTTTCAAGTATTCCTTTAAAAACTTATACCAAGTTTCATTTTTTCCCCCTCCTAACATTGAATTTAGAAATTTACTTCAGGTACAAATCGCACCACTATGCTAAAAGAGTCAATTAGAAGCACCCTTATTGTGTTTTCTAAGGGAAAACATGATTTGTTGATGTTTTAATCATACAACAATTATGAAGAAAGTGAAATTAATCCTCTTACAGGATTTAAGGCCTTTTGATTTCACCTGTTGTTGAGCACCATGAGTGATAACAAGCTTCATTATGCATTGAAAGAGAAAGGCCAGCTGAGGGCACTGTGCACCACATATCTTTTCTCCTTTTGAGAGGATGTGAGTAATCCCTTCTCCTCAGAGTAAGAATCCTTCTTAACTATTCTTTCTTTTGGGAGATGGGGTGGAAGATGACTGGAAAGAACTGCGATTTTAGTAACAGCTGAAGATGGTATGACAGAAACCTTGTTGATGGTGCCTATGCTACTCTTACTCTTACTTCTATTCAGAATTTGCAGGATGCCGTGGTGTTTCAAAAGCTTGCTTCATCTATGTCAAAATTGAGAATAAAGTGAATATGTACAACACAGAGTTACTGAAGGTGGAAGAGCCTACAACATTGATAGGGAAGGATAGAAATAGATTGGCTGAATTATCCATTCTCCCTTACGAATTAGTATTCTGCATTGTTGGGTTGAATAGAATACACTAGATATTTACTGTAATGAATCTGATTTTTGTTGTTAATGGATATTTTCTATGGTTAAAAAAACAATAAAAATACGTCAAACTGCATACCTCATCATTTTCTACAATTTATGAAACATGATAAAACTTTATTATTAGCTCTCTCCAAATTCTTGGAAAGATCTGAAAATAATTTCTCAGCATAATAAATAGCAAAATTCTACAACATATACAAGCCCAGCTCAAATTGTAGAACACTAAGCAGTCTTCTGGCCTTAATGCCATTAATCTGAGGAGATCTACAGTTTATACATTCTGGTGTCTCCCCCACAACGATCTTTCCTTCTCATCACTTTACTCTATTTTAGAAGACAAAGTGCTGTTTATTGCAATGGGCTCACAACTATTACAGCCTGCTTTTCTATTTTTACCCGGATGGGAAGGAGGAATAGAAATAAGCTGCAATGAGTTGAGTAAGCCTTTCCAAAAAGTTAGAATCCCACAATTATTTAGAAAAAGAAGGGCAAGCAACAGAGATTGCTGCTCTTATAATAAATTTGGAATCAATAGCATATCTCCCCAAGAGATTAACATTTGCCTAAGTAAGATAACCTTGCACCTCAGAGGATGGCTCTGAAATGTTTGCTCATTTAAAAAAACACCAAAGTAGGAGTCTAGTTATCAAGTGATGTTTGTGTATGTCTAGATACGCTTTCAATACATCATATTAAAACTCAGATAACTCATTTACAAATTGGGTAGCTTATTACATTAATGATCACAAAAAATGTTCTAAACTATGAAAGTGATTTCAATTCAAGTTTAGCCAAGAAACTTATTTAAAACTCCAGTAAGACAATGCGGTAGCAACATTGTTCGTTTAAAAAAGAAAAAAGAAAGTAAAGAAATATTTCAAAAGCAATCAAAGAAGTTTTCAAGATTGGTTAGAACTTGGCTTAGAAATCAGAGAAAGATGAAAACACTGCAGACATATAAACATGTATGCTATGCTTACTGTATTCTACCACCATTTTCTCAGCAAGTTTATCTAAATGAAAACTGCTCACAGAGTGGCAGACCCTATGGTATTCTATCAGTTTTATTTTACTGAAACAAAACATTCTGCAAAATGTATCTCAAGTAAAATGTACTTGTTATGATGTTTTGTTAACTAAAATTGCTGCTAGACAGCAACTAGGCCCCCAGAGTGTTCCTGTTCTTATTAGCAAATTAATAGCATGAACATGGGGGCTAATTTCTTGTCCAAATGACTATTGTTTCAGTCCAACTGGGAGTCAAATACACAAAAACAGCACATTTCCACTGCCCTATTCATAGCTGGAGTGGGAAATTTGTGGGAAAGTGACCCAAACAGTCATTTATCCAACTTATCTCTAATTATAATTAGATTTTACATCATTCCTGAGTTTCAACATCTAACGATTCATTTTGAACCCAGAATACGTCCAAGACAAGATCTTGGCTTTTTCTTTTTCCCAAGAACACTGCTCTTCACTGACCAGAGAGGTTTCCCCAATAGGATTCATACATGTATTCCCGTTTGCAAGTTTGATTAATGGTTTTATAAAAACAGGGCAACTGCATTTTTAAAAATGACCAAATGTCAAGGCAGGGTGGGGTGTTTCTACAATCAATTTGGAAACTAAAGATATGTGTGGTCACCTAGGAATAGTGACTGCATTATAATGTCTTCTTATAGATAATTAACCTAGATCCGCCACTATTCTAACATTCTAGGAATTCATAATTTTTTTCATATAACTATAATTAAATTCCAAAATATTTATCTGCTGGCAAATACACAAAAATAGCACATTTCCACTGCCCTATTCATAGATGGAGTGGGAAATTTGGACTGTTGATCCAAACATTTATCCAACTTATCTCTAATAATAATTAGATTTTAACCAGCTGTTAGTTCTCAAAGATTGCTTGGTGCTGAAATACTAGAATAAAGCTACTTTTGTGAAGCCAAAGTAAACTTGGATAAAGTCAGATTAAAGTCACACTGACAGATAAAAGGTAAATGTTCCCCTCGCATATATGTGCTAGTCGTTCGCGACTCTAGGGGGTGGTGCTCATCTCTGTTTCAAAGCTGAAGAGCCAGCGCTGTCCAAAGACGTCTCCGTGGTCATGTGGCCAGCATGACTAAAACCAAAGGCACACTGAGCGCTGTTACCTTCCCATCAAAGGTGGTCCCTATTTTTCTACTTGCATTTTTTACATGCTTTCGAACTGCTAGGTTGGCAAAATCTGGGACAAGTAATGGGAGCTCACTCCATTATGTGCCACTAGGGATTCGAACTACTGAACTTCCGACCTTTCAATCGACAAGCTCAGCATCTTACCCACTGAGCCACTACGTCCCTTTTTTACTGACAGATTTACACTGATAGATATTTAGCAAAAAAATAAAATGTTCATTTTTTAATAAAACGATACAAGTATACATGGGCATCTACAGAGGAGGGCAAGTAGGGAGTCAAATGAAGACCTAAATATCATGATGTCATAATGCAAGTGATGAGGCTTGCAAGCACATAATGTCATCATTTGCATGAGAAATCATGTATGTTTGATGTCATTTCCAAACAGAGAATGCAGTTGGTATTGCTTTTCCTTTAAGAAGGCCATTAAACAATTTGCAAAGTGAAGACTATGTAATAATCCTATTGGAAAACCTCTTCAGAGTATCCTTCAGAGTCTAGGAGTAACCTCCAGTTTATTATCAATGTCTCTGACAATGGTTCAGGAAGCTTCACCCAAAATATTTCCATTCTACTATCCCATTGGTATTGCAATTGACTACCTTACTCAGAGGTTACACATGCCAAGACATCTTATTTAGCCAGGTCTTTTCTTGCTCTTGTGAATAAATATGCATTACATTAATTACATAATACAAACTAGCTTGTTTCCAAGTAGAACACTGGATTAAGAAATGGCAGCTTTAGAGAGAAAGAGAAATAAAGCAGTTTGCCTAAAACTATTAAAGAACCTGAACTGGGGAAAAAAGTAATTGATTTACAGATGAAGTCAAACTGTCCGCTGTAACAAAAATATGGAAACATGTAATAGAAATGTGTAAATTCCCAAGGAAAACGCAACAGCAGCTCTCATTACCTGAGAAGGAGACTTGGGGATGCCTCCTCCAGGAGCATCCAGAGTGAGTGGCTCTGGTTCATGGTTGATGACCTTGATTTCAGGGCTGGTGATGGGAGTACCGTCAGGTGGAGGAGATGAAGGAGTTTTGTTTGCTTTTGTGCTGTCACTGTAAGAAAAAAAGAAGAAAAGAGAAAGCACTCCTCAGTTCTCAGAACTGACATCTTGAGTAGGGTTTTTTTTTGGGGGGGGGTATGCCTTGGAATAGACTAAAATGCTTCTTTCACTTGCATTGTTTGGGATAGCTCTACTGATATAACTTTAATTTGTAGTAAGGTGCATGTGTGCCTCATGTCAAAAGAAGAGAAAAACAATGTAAAGTTGAAGCACTGCCAAAAACCTAACTCCCAAAACATACGACATATAGCTAGTTAAGGGCTAAGCAGTGCTAGCGATGGAAACTCTTAGGACCAAATTATGTGATGCCTTACATCAGTGTTTTTCAACCTTGGTAGCTTGAAGATGGGTGGACTTCAACTCCCAGAATCCCCCAGCCAGCGCTGCTGGCTGGGGGATTCTGGGAGTTGAAGTCCACCCATCTTCAAGCTTCCAAAGTTGAGAAACACTGCCTTACATGTACCTTGATTAGGCATGTATGCATAGATATATTTTAAGCAGTAAACAACAACAATTGATGGACAGAGGGACATCCAGTGTAATTCCAACAGAAATCCAACTCCTAATAATAATTGAGAGTATGTGTCAAAGGAAGCTACCAAAGAGATTTTCCATCCCACACCAAACAAGAGAAAGGAGAAGGGTACTGTATGAATTGTAACATAGAGGGGGGGGGAAGAATTTTGCTTTTGCTTTTTTAAATCAACATCTCTATTTCCCTCCATGCTCTAATCTAAATTGCAATACATGCAGTGCCAAAGTTTGTCTACCATATAGTTTAGCTCTTAGATATTCTCTAAGATTTAAATAAGATGATTTTCATTATACATTAAAAATAAGCAGACCTTTGAGCTCCAAAGAAGTATAGAAATTTTAGTCTCCTAAGGAATTTTCTGTGTGTGTGTGATCCTGCAGTGTTCTCTGTTATACAATGAGTACTTTGAAATTAAACCTGCTAACCATGTGGTTTAGAGGGATGAGACAACCGATTTCTTATTTAAACAACGCAAAGGAAAAGGCTGAAAAATGGACCTAAACCCCCCAAATATGAAAGCTTGCTTTACACACTACGTTTGTCAATTAAATATTCAAATATTAGATTTAAAACAAATATATCAAAACTCCTGATATATAGCAATAGAATTTTTTTAAACTCTCGTATCATTTCTATTGCTAATTTGCATTGGGAAATAGATTCTCCTAAATTCATTGGGACTTATGCTTATGTAAATATTCTTGGTTCTAAGAGGTTCTAACTACAACTCATTCACTGCTGGAGGTGAATGAAGATGAAGGTGTAAGTAATCAAAGATGAACTACCAAATCATATCTCAACCATGTCTATCTTCTGCCTCTTATTGTATCTCCAAATCTTATCAAAAGACAGACAGCTGGTAGAAAGAAAACAATTGAGAACTCTTTTTTTTACACACATTTTGTATCACTTAGTCATAGCAGCCATCATGCATATTTATTCAGCAAGCTAGTTAGTATAGAAAACACTTATTACAATAGTTTGTCATAAAACACCATGTACTCCAAATAGTGATTTAGCTTTTTCTCTCTATTGAAATGCATGTCCTTTCTAGGGAGGTTTTTTTTCCTCCATACAACTGATAACTCATTTCTCTATCATGATTTATGACCACATCACAAAAAAAGCAAAGAAAAAGGAGAAGTTACTTTTCCAGCTGACTTTCACAAGGGAACAACCAAAGTCATAAGGGCTCCATACTCAGAATCTGAATGGAATGAAGAGCTCATTTTTCTCCTTCTCTTCCCTCATGGACTAATTGCAAATATGTTTAAAAAGAAACATTGATCATACCATAATAACTTGGCAATCAGCTTCAAAATTTGAATATTTTTGGAGGCCAGCCAACAGAATATGAATAAAGAACAGGAGCACTATTATAATTCACCACTTTTATTGTGGAAGGCATGAGGAAATAGGACCAAATTGTCTGGCTACATAACAATTTCTCTGAAACAAGCAACAAAAATCTATTTATCAATATATGAACTTGCCTATTCTTCAAATAAATGCTGAAATTTTATTCATAGTTGCTCTAACTGCAAATGCCTATCATCATTCAGCACTGTTATATCCATTGCTGCAACATATTAACTTAAGCTCTTGCAAAGGGATGACATAAACTTTACAAATATCAAGCAGAAATTAAAAACAAATTGTACACAGATTTCTAGTGAAGTAGTACCCTTAGTGTCCTTAAACTAAGAGGCCTTAGTTCAAATCTAACTTGGTAGTCCTACTAGCTGTGCACATTATGTATAAAATATAGGCCCACTTCAGTTTGAAACATTAAATAGCAATAGCACTTAGACTTATATACCACTTCACAGTGCTTTACAGCCCATTCTAAGTAGTTTACAGAGTCAGCATATTGCCCCCAGCAATCTGGATCCTCATTTTACCAACCTTCGGAAGATGGAAGGCTGAGTCAACCTTGAGCTGGTGAGACTCGAATTGCCAAACTGCTGGCAGCCAGCAGTCAGCAGAATTAGCCTGCAATACTGCATTCTAACCACTGCGCCACTGCGGCTCTTTAAAGGAAAAGCAATGCCCTTTTTTCATGTGGGAGGATACAATATCATAATCCACTAGAGCAGGACTGTCAAACTCCCAGTCCATGGGCCAGATGCGTCACGCGCTGGCCACACCCACGCCTGGTTTAGCGAAGGAGAAAAAAGTCCCAACACGTCACGTGACACCACCATGAAGACGTGAGTTTAACACCCCTGTATTAGACCAAACAGTTTAAGTTATCTGGTTCCCTAATTAGCACTTATCTCTTAGGTACAGAGCACACAGTAATTACAGTTATCTTTGAGAAATGTATTAGGAAGCATAAAAACTGTCATCATAAACGCCACAGATGATCTTCCACTGAAAATGTATTGGGGGGAGGGAATTGAATTAAAACAAACAATAAAATATTTGGATTATTCAGAGACACACAAAGGCAATCTCAAACAATTCTAAGAGAAAGGGGTTTAAATCATGCAGAGGAAAAAACCGGGAAAAACCCTCTACATTATCAAGCTATCAATGCACTATGCTGTTAGAATGCAGCCTGGCCTTTGCTTTTGTCATCCAAATCAGACCACATTTGCCATTCTGGTACCTGCTCATCTTTTTCCTCAGCCTGGAGAAGAGTTTAGTTTTCTTTCTGTTGAGGACGGCACACGTAAGTGATCTCCATTACAACACGGCTCAACCAATGAGAAAGAAAGGTGAAGATTCCGTGCATGAGCTAATGCAATTACTGAGAAGATATTCGTTCATAGAGGAACTATAAGATGGCCCAGTGTGTCATCTTAGTATAGTAAAAGGTACCCACACTGGACATTTTCAATTAAAAAAATATATACCCATTAAGTACTATGTCAGTGCCCAGTGAATGGAAGAGGAAGAGAAGGATAGATGTCACCACTCATCCTCAGATTACCTCAAAGCCGTACTGGAAAAGAAATGTGGATGTGGAACAGGGCTGAGAAATACGCAATACTTATAGAAGAGGGCTGTGCTTTGGCAACTGATGTTTCCTTATCTATCATAAGATCAATGGACACAGTGAACCTTGAAAAGTGTCTTTTTTTATGAAAACTGATCTTTAAACATTAGCAACATGGAAATCACTTTCCAATGCAATTGGAAATTGCAGCACTAATGTAATCTCTAAAGCCCCATAGCGACATGGATTTGGTCAGTTTACATATTTTCTTAATGACTATCCAACCAGACACTAATTTGACATTAAATTATGGCACAGAATGGGTGACGGTCTTTAAATGTGTCCTGAAAAATATCATAAATGTGTCCTGAAAAATCATAAATTGTTTCAACTATTGTTGTACTTCGAATGATATCAGGTGAAAACAGATGCCAAATCTTTTGGGATCCTTATGCTATCCCATAATACTTTTGTTATGATGGGTCCTTTCTACACTCTCACTGATGTACAAGTTATTTTTTCCATCTCTATTTCCAAAGTACACAGATAAGTTATGTTATGAAATTCTTTTGGCTTCTAAATATAACAATAGTTCCTAGTTTCCACTTTGATTTTAATCTTGCTTTTTTCCCCCTGAAACCTTATTTTTTGCTTCAGTTCTACTGTTATGCCTAAACCAATGCTATTTAGCCAGACTTCATAGAAAAAAACAAAACAAATAATTGTTTCAAGTATAGTATATAACTCCTTTCAGATGAATTATCAACAGAAAGGAATCTATAGCAGTGAAATAATCACTGTATTAAAATTACATCAATCCAAGTAGAAGGAATAAACTAAACTTCATTTAAAGAAATCAAATTATTCTTGTCATAGTCACTATGCATTAAGAAAACAAATGCATATTTACTCAAAAAGCAACCCCACTAACTATAATGTGGTTTACTCCAAGTTTAGTGTTTAAAGTACAAATCTTCATCCTAAACAGACCACATCTAAGTTCTTCTTTCTCTGCTTATTGCTACATAATATATTTGGGGATTTATTATATATTTGTTCAGCCTTTCTCGCTCTATCTTCATTCTTCATTTGTTCAGAGATTGAACAAATATATAATAAATCTGATTTTATTACAGATCTATTTTATTGAGTGAACGTGGTTTATAAAGGGTTTGCAATACTCTCTCTCATTCTTTTTGAAAAACCTAGAGTTCCGCTCATCGCCAAGAACATAGGAATGGCTAGATTTTTTGATATCAATTCATTTTCCAGATTCATCTTCCCTTTGTTCTATTGTGCGTAGGAGTAGTTTTGCAAAAATAAGGAAGCAAGATAACTTCAGATTGCTTTCCAAAAGAAGTACGCAATAATCCTTTTCCTAATGATGGCTTGGCACATTGCATCTCATTAATGCAAACACAGCAAACCCCAGATTCAGAGCAGCTGGGAGTCTGAGTTCCTAAACTGTTTCATCATTCACATCTTTGGATAAAAGTCAGAAACCAAAAAGTGAGGATTACTTTCCTCTTAACTGTGTGAGCTGAGGGTTGGGGAAAATATTCTGTCTCTCTCTCTCTCTCTCTGTGTGTGTGTGTGTGTGTGTGTGTGTGTGTGTAAAATATATGAAAAAAAATTGGCAGATGTTATGTTCTTTTCCTATCCCTGCCTCTACTTGGAATTAGCTTAAACATATAACGGTAGTGAATACCTTCACGAAGAATTTCACAGTATTGTTCAAAAAAACCTAATGAATTTAATAGCAAATTCATTAGTAAATACTAAATGCATCAATAATGACCATGCAACATGTTTGTATGTAGTGGTGGGGAAATCAAAGAACTTTCACCAACTTTGCTTGAATTTCCTAAAGCAGTTCAAAAACATCCCTACTTTTATAGCAAAACTAAAAAATGTTGTGATCCATCTTTTACAGTATTATTATTATTTGTGTGTTTCTATAGGTCTGTTTTTCAGTTCAGATAAACACACTCATGATCACAAATGAAGGCAAATATATGTGTCCCAGGATAATGTTGCAGGATCCAATCTGGGTCGGTCACTGGGACCAGAGGTTTTGTCTTCCAAGCTTTCAGACTCATGCTGGAGCCCATCTTCAGATTCTCTAGCAAAGTGTGTGTTGTTCTGGGTGTGATATTTATATGGTGCCTGTTGCATGTGGCTTTTTAGATGCTGATTGGAGTGCCTGGCTTTTAAGTTGTGGGCTTTCATTTGCTTGTGCTGCCCAGCCCTCGCCTTCTAAATACTTGATAAGCTGGTGGTAAATCAGCACTCCTGTTGATTGACACATAGCCTGTTTCCCAGGCTTCAATCTTCAAACCTGGCTATTTTTGTGCCCGCTCATCCAACAATCTTAGTAGCTGCAAAATTAAGCTCATTGATTTGAGCAGTTAAATGAAGAGACCCGAACTCATTGGTAGCCTCACACTGCAATGAACAAGGACACACATTCAACTTTATAGCTACTAAGACTGTTGAACAAGCAAGCACAAAAACAGGGAAGTGATTGAAGTGATTGAAGCCTGGGAAACAGGCCCCTCATCAGTGAACAGGAGTGCTGATTTACCACCAGCCTATCAAGTACTTAGAAGGCCAGGGCTGGGCAGCACGGGCAATGACTTAAAAGCCAGTCATCAACACACCCTAAACAGCATCTAAAAAGCTGCATACAACAGGCACCATATAAATTCCACACACAGAACAGCACACACTCTGGTCCCAGTTACTGACCCAGATTGAATCCTGCAACATTCAAGATCATCTAAATGTAGCCACTGTGTATTACTGAATGCCAGAATTGCACTGTCTTGATTTACTAATATATTCAGCCTTATGGTCGACATTGTAGATACATTTATTGTTGTGTAAATCTAATCTCTTTTTATGGAATTGTGATAAAGGGTATCTGATATGGCGCTGTGATCCTTAAGAATATAAATCATAAGTAACAGAGTCAAGGAGCTCAAAGGGCCAGCCTTTAGCCCCAGAGCTGAGAATATGGTTTATTATTATTTATTATTATTTATATAGCACCATCAATGTGCATGGCATTTTACACAGTACAAGATAACAAGTCCCTGCCCCGAGGAGCTTACAATCTAAAAATTGACAGAGGAAAACAACAGAGGAAGGAAGAGAAATGGAGACAAGGATAAATGGGAAAAGAATATGTGATTAGTTCTATTAGACATACTTACGCTGATGTACACAAAGATATGGAAACCAGAATATTGTGCCAAGAACACTACGTTATAACAGAATCAATTCTGACAAATTATACTTTAGCCCAACTGAAATGTATTTTTCCCATCATTTTATCTCCATAAAACATCAGCTGCTAAATTTCTGAAGACCCATCTACAGATAAATATATCATAGCTGAAGCCTGAAAGGTTCACTCATAAGTAAACAGAAAATACAGGGGTTCCTACTCTTTTCCAACACTTCTTCCTTTTTCCTGCCATTCCAGTAGGTATATTTTCAAAAGATGTGTTTATGTAAAAGTATTATATACACACAAACACATATACCCCCATAGTCATTTTAATGTACATTTTGGTCTAGGTTTGTCCTGGTGCTGAAAGGGAAATGGCACATTTAACCATGAAAAGCACTGAGGAAATATTTGCTGGGATACCAGAATGGAAGGAGAAAGAAAAAATATAATGGTCAGAAGACACTAGCTAGAAAATAAGATAGACAGATGTGGTGCTGCTGCTCAGCTTTTAACAAGGAAAGAAGATTTTTTACATTCTATACTATACATTATATATAAAACTATACATTGGTTTATGCATACTAACCTTGGCTGAGCTTTAACAGGATAGGTGCTTGTTGCATGTTCTTTCTCTAGAGTCACAAGGACATCATTCAGGTTTTGGTTTAACTGAGACAATAAATAAACAAAAGTTCAAAATAGGAAAAGTAATTACTGGTCAGTGTAACAAAGAGCCTATTAGAAATATGTCGGTATACTCAGGATCCCAAAAGAGGAGTATTTTGCTAAGGGAAGGATACTGCTACTTATTTATATTACCTCACTGACAGCGCTAAGGATATCTTTTGAAACAGATGCCATATGAGCAAAATCTGTGACATATGCACACACCATAATAATATGTTCAGTTCATGTTTCTTCATTTTCTCCTCTTCTGGCTCACATATTTGTACTGCTCCAGGCTCTTCCATTAATACACTCTTTTGTTTCTCACTGGGACTTAATGCCATCTTCCTTCTCTCTCTTCCCATCCCATTGTCTGCCTAGGTTGCTATGCAACTTAATCTGTCACTAAATAAGAAATCAGGCCAAACTAGTGGAAATGGCCTGTGGGAAGGAGTTCATCTATGCTTACAGCCCACACCAGCCACTGCAGCAGGTCCACGGGCAAATCTGACTCTAAAGAAATGCAAATTATCTTTTGGCATTACTTTTCCTGGAGGAAAAATGGAAGAAACAGGATTTTCCCAGAGAAACAGACTGGTCAGGGTTTTATCTCATAAACTGTTGCGCTGTTGGTAGAACGTATTTGATAAGTGTAATGTTAGTGTGACCTGGTTCTAGCGCTTTTACATTCAGATTGCTCCCATAAGCTATGGGAAAGCATACCCACACTGTCTGATCAATGTAAACAATGTGAAACTTCAGTTCAGCCTTGCTATTTGTGGTCCGCCTCTCTGTTTTTCTCACTTGTTGTAAAGACTTTAAATGCCTTAGCTGAACTGTGACAGGAATGTTTTCCTAGTTCAAAAATGTCTATTTCGGTGGATTACTTTTGGATGTCTGGCTACGACATTCATCCGATCGTATCAGTGGATCAAATATCCCTGTAAATTGGCAATTTCACTAAGCTTACCATAAATTGCCACCCATACTATTAAATCTTCTTTGTGGCTCACAGTACATAATATTTATAGAGATATACAATAGCTTAGAAATACGAGCAAAATAGAAGCTACACAATTCCCCTCCTCAGAATGTCTAGTTTTTAGGACCCTTTTTGGAAGTCTCATTAACGCAAAAGCATGGAACCAGGCAATATCTACCTTGAAAGTTTATATATACAAATCTGAACTCCTTGTTGGAAGATTGGCAGAATCTTTCAACAACTTTATCACTTTCCTCTTAACATACTTTTTTGTCAATTTGTATCAAGTCATTTGACACCCCTTATATATTCTCCTTTCAATATTGACATGTTCCAACCTGCTTTTTTTATTGCCTGGTACAGGATTTTAAATTCTAAGCAAAGAGGATTAAGTTGCAGGTTTATGCAAACGGATGGATATAATTTCCTTCTTTTACATTTCCTCTTTTAAACTGTGGTCTTCCTGATTCCTTTTCAAGTTATTTGTACAAGAGAAGAGAAAGATCATTTATGCTACTCTGAAGGTGTAAATTCTTTATCCATGATATTAAAGTAAAATATGGCACAGTTGCTGGAGAAATTCAGGACATGTTTCACTGGCAAGCAATTTTTGAAAAGCAACTGAGCATTCATTAGTTAAATACTGTATATATTAGCAGTATATATACCATTAGCCATGGAGTTTAATCATTGATAATCTTTCACACATATAAGAGCAATGGCTCCAGCCTTTCAAATCTTAATATAAATTGATGGACAGAAGTCATCTGAACTTACAGAAAAATAGATCTATAGAAAAATGAGGAAGTAGGGCCTCATATAATGATCTTTTTTTTTCTTCTCATATTTTTCACTAATAGAACTTAAGGAACCATACATAATATATCAAGGCAGTTTTAGGCACTATCCAAACTTGGAACTGTTTATATTCTACAACAGGGGTGTCAAACATGTGGGCCATGGGCTGGATCCAGCCCACAATAGCCCAGAGTTGTCCCGCGGGGCCGACCAGGAGATGGCGAGGGACCGGCCTGTGCTGCCCTGGCCACCCAGTTGACTATGATGACTAGGCCACACCCACCCTGGGTAGGTGGCAAACAAACTCCTGATACCACTCATGACGGGATTGAGTTTGGCACCCCTGTTCTACAAGATTGCTACTGATGCCTTCAAAATATGCCCCAGTCTGTTTTCAGAAGAGGTACCTCAATAGTTAAAAAGACTCTAAGAACTGTGTCAGCATCCTTGAGCATCATCAGCTAATACAATTGTCTTCTAATAAAAAAAGATAGGATGGAGAACTATGTGTGATACCAATAGGAAGAAGAATGCCTTGCAACTTTACCTTGCCCATTTCCTTATGAAAATTCTCTTCTAAGCCAGCAATACTCTGGAATGTGTTGACATAGAAACCAACACGACTAGAAAATAAAACAGTACAAGTCAATAGAGATATAGGCAGATGTTTGTCCTTCAACTTTACCCCATTTGCTAATCAGCTTTCATATCCTCGACTCCTCTCGCAGGATGGAATATGTGATTTAGCAAAAGAAACAGCATGGACAGAACACTTTGGATGAGCTTCATTGGAGCAAAAACCAATCAAAATCTTGTAAATTTCTCCACTGAGACCCTCAGCTTCTTTCCAGAAATATATAGGTAGAATAAAGAGCATTTTTTTCGGTGCTCACCTATTCCATAGTGAAGGCAGTTCTTCCTGAAGATCAATGTTCATCTCTTCAAATACTTTTTGGGCTTTTACTAATTCTTCTTCAGCCTGTGGGGTATCAAGAAACCCATATGCAACCATTCAGAAGAGAGTTTACATATTGGTCACTATGTAGCATAGTGGAAAACATTTACTAGAATATGGGCTAGCAAACTAAGCAGGTTGTTAATGCAGACAAATGGAGGTGGTAACAATATCCCAATCTTTCCCAGGAGCCCAGTATTCTTACCTTTCAAGGTTTGACAAAGCTTATCAAGATCCCACAAGTCTCTCTCTTTCCCATTGAGGACTGAGGGAGAAGATTCTGACAACTAAGCTTTGGTCACTATAAAGAAAAACTGATGTCTACTTTATACAAAGATAAACTAATCTTGGCCTCATTAGAATACCAGTTAAAGTCCACTTGCACCTCCAACTGATAGAAATGTTCTACATTGCCCTCTACTTGCCATCTGTCCCCATCAAAGGTGAGAAATCCAGTATGTGGCTGCAGGAATGGAAATGGTTTATGTGGCTAATATGGAGAGTTACAAAAGCTGTATCTACAAAAGGTAGCTACCACTTACTCTAGTCTAGTTCATTCTCAGAACACCTTGTCAAGAATGTTGGAAATGGTGGTCTGCATACCACTAAGGATTATTACATATACACAGACTTCTGGAATTCTATGGAAATGCAATTATGCAGCATTCAGTTCAGAGTAAAACTAATAAAAATATTTGATACTCCCCAGATGATCAGCACTAGCACGAAGTTTTAAAGAGCCCAACAAAGTGCAAGCAGTGGGGAGATATGTATCTATAGATTGGTGAAATAGAATATTTAACCAGTAAATACAAGTTTCATTTTATATCATATATGGTCTAGCATAATATAGATAAATAGTGAAGCTGGATTCTTACCAATTCAGTAGCAAGAAGAAAAAGGAAATTGCTTATATGCCAGTCAATGGCAGGAATGCTAAAAGTATATATAGACCTCTGTCCTTGAAAAAAAAAACTCTAAGAAGACTTCAATCATTCTTATAAAGTGCTAATATGAGCAACACAAGTCAGATTCTTTGGTTAAAGGAGAAATATATTTTCTTAGTGAAGATATATGCTAAGATATATTCTATAAAATTAGCTTGGTGCCTGATTGGGGGTTTTCTAAGAATGGGGGCAGGATATCACATGATTTGATATTGATGAATGCCTGAATTAAGCAATGAACAGAAATAGCAATGTTAGAGGTTTGCAGTATACAAACTGTATAGAACATTATTACTTGGAATCTTAATATTGAGCTAGTCTACTTTTCCATTTTCAGCAGACAGAATTATTCATGCTCTAGGAACTAAAAGGTTGATATCTACATTGAAATATTCCAATATTGTGAGACAGAAAAACCCAAGGCAACGTTCACTCTATAATGAAACAATAAGAGGCTCTAAAACTCAATTGCAATACTATGGTTCCCCATGGGAGTCACCTTGGCAGCACTCAATAAAGTAGTTATTACGACAATTATTTGTCTCTTTCTCTTAAGGCAAATTAGTGAAAATAATATAAAATATAAAAATATTGAGATATGCTTTGCTATACAAAGCAATATAAGACCAAACTGAACAGGCAAAAAAGGAATGAAAAATAAATCTCACCAAGAATATCATGCACAAATTCTAACTTGTTATATAAACCTCGCGGCAACTCTCTACAATTCTGTTTTTACAACAGCTGAGAAATTTTATGCGAAATGGCAGAAATGGAGTTTGACCAATTAACAGGAAACCGTTCAAGATATTTCTGAAAAATTGGTTATGCTTTTATATCATTGCTTCTATATAATAGCAGCAATAGCATTTAGACTTATATACTGCTTCACAGTACTTTACAGCCCTCTCTAAGCGGTTTACAGAATCAGCATATTGCCCCCAACAATCTGGGTCCTCGTTTTATTGACCTCGAAAGGATTGAAGGTTGAGTCAACCTTGAGCCTGGTGAGATTTGAACTGCCAAATTGCAGGCAGCTGGCAGTCAGCAGAATTAGCCTGCAGTACTGCATTCTAACCACTGCGCCATTGTGTCATCTTTATGGATATTTGTACTTATAAAGTGTTATTGTTGCTCTGATATGTATTGCTTAAAACTGTTTGGACTGAAGTGATATATAAATCTTACAATAAATAAATATGCAAGCAAGCAAGCATTCTAATTCCAGGAACAAGCATATTCATTGGATCCAGGGATGAAATCCAGCAGGTTCTGACAGGTTCTGGAGAACCAGTAGTGGAAATTTTGAGTAGTTCAGAGAACAGGCAAATACCACCTCTGGCTGGCCCCACAGTGGGATGGGAATGGAGATTTTGCAAAATCCTTCCCCCAAGAGTGGGGAGGGAATGAGGATTTTGCAGTATCCTTCCCCTAGAGTGAGGTGGGAATGGAGATTTTGCAGTATCCTTCCCTGGAGTGGGGTAGGAATGGAGATTTTGCAGTATCCTTCCTCTGCCACGCCCACCAAGCCATGCCGACCAAACCACGCCCACAGAACCGGTAGTAAAAAAAATTGGATTTCACCACTGATTGGATCACAATAGTTCTTTCAATTTGCCTTTTTTTAATTTATCAAATATAATTCTGAAATTAATCAATACTTTGCGGGTGAAGTTTCTATAAAACAAGCAATCTTAATGATCTGCTTTTTCCAGACACTGCACCATTTGCTAACATATAAACTACTTGTCTACGTCATCTGGATTCATTCAAATTTCAGGTGCCAACCTCTGCAGATTTATATTTTTTAATTTGATTTTTTTGGGGGGAAAATATTAGATTTCAATGTGACTTATTTTCATCCCACTGAAGAATTCTAAAACTCAGCAAGATGAAACAGCTGCCCATCTGAGTCATGAACATAAAGAAAAAGAGTTTCTTTATACATAGTTGAATCTGGGCCAATTTTACAAAGAAAGCATCTGTATGCTTTTAGTTAGCATTTCAATGGGGTTGTAGGAAGGCAGGAATTTGCTGTCTGAAGCAATTTAACTCATCAACCTTCCGGAATATATTCCAAAAGAGAACATAGCTAGAGTGATCATTTATTTCTACCCTCTTGAGACACCTCCCCTCATTTTTCTGGTAGAAAAATGTAAATCTACCTCCATGTTATTTATTGCCTATCTTTGATAGAGATTATGGCAAGAAACAAGGAATTAAAAGTTAGCTCACTTACCAAAGGAGACTCATTCTAGAATGTACACAAACCACATGTGTGTTTTCAATGTTTTGAACCTGAAATTTGGAAGTTCTGATGAACCATTCCAGGTGGACTTTAGGAGTGGTTAAGGGGGAGTAGAGGGAAAATGCTGTGGAGATTGGAGGATAGGAAGCCACTTGGCTATGCTATATTTGAAGCTTATTGGTTTCAAGCACAGCACAATCAAGTGGTCCATCTAATCCTTCTACCATGTTCTTTTTTCTACCTTCCTTTAATCACCACCAATAACAACAATTTTCTTGGTTGCTGCAAATCTAACCAATTCACCCACTGTTCCCCAATATTCCCAGTGACATATTTTTCCTACCTCCCCTTAGCTACCACTGATGATGTTTGGGTTTTGGCCTACTCTTTCCCCAAAGAAATGCTGGAACACACATCTGGACTAAAGACCTGTTTCAATCCAGATACAGACCACCCAAAATTCTCATCAGTCGAAATTAATATAACCAATGGTCGGTCAGGACTGATAGTAATCCAAACCATCTGGAATTTGAGAAGCTGGGTTTAAAGTATCCAGCAGTTAATTAAACTAATTCACTGATCAGCTCAGAGAAGAAAAAAGAAAATTGGTTTCTTTAGTTAAAAACAATAAGGTATCGTCCTCCAGTATTTGCTCTTTCTCTTTTTTTTTAGATCTTTGCTTCATTTAATGGACACACTTGCAAAGTGTGTCCTTTGTTAAAACACAATATACTACCCTGGTCTTTATTTCTGTTTCTCATAGAAAACAGACATCTGATAATTCTTATTCACTTATTACCACTTTGTTTCCCATAAGGCTTTTGGATGTTCAAAGTTCTTGGCAGGATTTTATTTACTGGCACTTTATTCTTCAAATGATTTTAGAGGAAAGGCTACATTGTCCAGAGACATTTCTAATCATAAAGCAGAACAAGACTTAAAAATTACAGACTTAAAGCTTATTATACATTCATTTAGAAAACATCTGGATTTTATAAAAAGTTAAGCTATAAAATAATATGTACAAACAGAAGCTGAAAACCAAAAGGAAACTGATACAGGGAACTTTAAAACAACAGAATAACAGAGTTGGAAGGGACCTTGGGAGGTCTTCTAGTCCAACCTCCTATACCATTTCAGACAGGTAACCCTATACCAGAGGTGTCAAACTTGCTGCCTTACGTTGCCGTCATGTGACTTTTGCAACATTTTTCCCACTTGCGGAGCTGCATGGGTGTGGCCTGCACGTGACGCATCTGGCCCACAGGGCCACCAGTTTGACACCTGTAGCCTATACCATTTCAGACAAATGGTTGTCCAATCTCTTCTTTAAAATTTCCAGTGTTGGAGCATTCACAACTTTTGGAAGCAAGTTGTTCCACTGATTAATTATTCTAACTGTCAGGAAATTTCTCCTTAGTTCTAGGTTGCTTCTCTCCTTGATTACTTTCCATCCATTGCTTCTTGTTCTGCCTTCAGGTGCTTTGTAGAATAGCTTGACTCCCTCTTTGTGGCAACCCCTGAGATATTAGAACACTGCTATCATGTCACCCCTAGTCCTTCCAGCAACCATTCTTTATACATTTTAGCTTCCAGTCCCCTAATCATCTTTCTTGCTCTTCTCTGTACTCTTTCTAGAATCTGAAAATCTTTTTTACATCAGGGCGACCAAAACTGATGCAGTATTCCAAGTGCGGTCTTACCAAGATATTATAAAGTGATATTAACAGTTCACATGATCTTGATTCTATCCCTCTGTTAATACAGCCTAGAACTATGTTGGCTTTTTTGGCAGCTGAAGCTGCAGCTCCCCTTCTCCTTGCTTATTACATAGAGAGTGGTAAAGGGAAAGAAACATCAGAATAGAACAACAATATCCATTTCCCAGAAACAGATCCTGGGATTTAATGGCTGAGTGTTAATGAAAGAGAAGAGTAACTGTCGACCAAGAACTATGGTCTATCAGTCTGAAATTTGGGTGAGAGTGAAGGACTTTAAGCATTGGTGAGTTGATGGAAATAATAAGCCTGGCTACAAAACCTTTTATAAGGACTGAGTATCAGAAAAAGAATCTATAACAGGGGTGTCAAACTCGATTTCATTGAGGGCCACATCAGGGTTGTGTTTGACCTTGGAGGGCCTGGGGTAGCATGGCTGGGGGTAGGCGTGACCATGGTGGGCATGGCCAGTTTGACGTCACTCATGTCGGGGGCACCTATGGTGGCCCAGTGCTAAGGCAGGACTTCCCTGAGACCCTCACTCACTCTCATTATAGTTTCCTTCCTTCTTTCTTTCCTTCTTTCCTTCCTTCCTTCCTTTCTTCCTTCCTTTTCTTTTTTCTTTCCTCTTCATTCTCATTTCTTCTTCCTTCCCCTCTTTTCTTATTTTTTCCTTCTTTGCTCTCTTCCCATCTTTCCTTTTTTTTTCTTTGTCTTTCCTCTTTCTCTTTCTCTTTCTCTTTTCCTGTCCCTTCTTGCATTTTCAAATGCAAAAGGGGAAACATTTCTCCTTTTGTTTTGTTTTCAGTTTGTTTTGCTAGCCCTCTGCCAGCGAAAATGGAGAGGGCCCCATTTTCGGCCGCAACAGTCTCCTGCAGTCCTCTGCCAGTGAAAATGGAGCTCTGGAGCCCCACACACGCCCCCATCCTCCGAGCTCCATTTTTGCTGGCAGAGGCACCGCGGGCTGGTCCTTTGTTGCTTCCAGGCCATCCTACAGACCAGATCTAAACACCCCATGGGCCGGAATTGGCCCGCTAGCCTTGAGTTTGACACCCCGGATCTATAATAACAAGAAAAGGCTATTGTATAATATGTAGATATATACTTGCATCTCCTCCTTGTCATCCATAGAGCTCAGAATCCAGAAACATTGGATTATGATTGAGCAATTAGAAACTCCTAGGTGAACACTACTTCCAATTAAGCAATACCAGTTGCCACACAATAGAGACACACAAATTAAACAGTGACTACTGGAGCCACTTCCCCACCTTCTATCCTATCGTCTCACTGGACACCCCTACATTTAATTGCTGATGAGGACATGGTACCATGTATTAATCTAGGGCACGGGTGTCAAACTCGCATCACGTTGCCGTCACATGATGTTTCACGACGTTTTTCCCATTCGCAGAGCTGGGGGTGGGCGTGGCCTGTGCATGACCCATCTGGCCCGCAGGCAGCCAGTTTGACACTCCTGATCTAGGGGAATACAAAATCAGAGAAACTACATTGCCTTTTCAAACATGTTTTTTGGCCTCAAGAAGTCTGAATTTTAAGTCAATATTCCTCCCAGAGAAAAGAAACCTTCCAGGAGAGGTTAGAGTGAACGCTGCCTGAGGAATAAGCACAGAAGAGAGCTTCAGCCAGAAATAGCACATGCAGGGTTAGACAGCAAGGCAGGCTGGACTATCACCTGATTCCGCAGCAGGTTAGTCTGAGCTACGAGATGCGCTTGTAGCTTCCCTTGGCACCACTGAGGCGCGGCTTTCTCAAGCAACGAGACAGGCTGGGCAAGAGCATATCCAGGACAAAGACAAGAATAAAACAGACACCTTTTGAGAATTACTTTTTAAAAATAAAAATAAATAAAAATCAAATAATAAAGGTCAGGATGAAGCAACCATCCCAACAACAACAACAAAAATAAAAAAAACAGAAGAAGTCAGTATTAAGTGATAAGTCAAGGATGTATCCTATATGACATGCCAAATATAGCAGTAATTAATGCTCCACACAATGATCAATGAACTCCAGAGCGAGCACAGCTTATACACACTCCAGCTGCAGAGAGCAACAGAGAAGAAATTGTTAGTCATTTAGAAAGCAATACAGTCCAACCTTAGTCTCTCTCCATAGGTCATTAGCAACTTCAAAAGGAGCCAAGATTAAAAGACAACTTCATTATAACAGCCATGCAGATTATTTATATTTTGTAGCATTTGATTTAAACATCGGAAGGTGACAACTGTCTAAGTCTAAGGTGGGAATAATTTGCATTAAACAACTTATTTAAAACATCCATAAGATCTTAGAGCAGGTCATTTAAAATGAACTGAGGACTATGCAGAATTGAAGAATATTCCCCCCCACATTAGTGATATGATTGGATTTTTCAGAGCACAAGGAACAATAGTCACAGAGAGAAGCTTGATTGAGAAAATGTTTAATCTGAATTTCACAAAATCACTCCTGCTGATATCCTTAACTTGTGTCATCAGCAGTCTCTGCAATGGCCATAGATAGAAACACAGTGCATTTACCTCCATTCAAAAAGGCAGATGCCTCTCACCAGAAAAAGCCTGGACAATTTGTCCTAGCAAAATCATTTTGCCCCATGACATAAGCAGTCAAATTAGAAAAGTCTAGATTAGCCAAAAATCCCTAAATGTTTCATTAATGCAGGAGTAAAGGAATACCAATAGAAAGAACACTTTCTACACATTGAGTTTTTCATCCCCTAGCTATAAGACTTCTTGTTTCTTCATTTAGTTTTTATTTTCCTTTTAGCATTGACACACTCTACTGATTTTCCATTTCAGCTGTATGTAATAGTTTTTACGTTGTTTTTATTCATAAGATAAAATCAAGTTTGTCAGAAATTCTGAAGTTTGGATACTTTGATTGGGTTTTTTTACTTCTAACAACAAAAAGTGGGTTGTTATGTAGATACATAAAAACGTACAGTGGTACAAATACCTAAATAACTTAATTTAGAACAAACAGACATTCCACCTCTTACAAGGGCTTTTTTACCTTGGCAATTTTAGCCTCATCTTTCTTCTTTGCAGTTTGAAGAGATTCATAATGATGCCTGGCACTGTCATAGTCTACAAGTTTCCTTCCCCGTTTAGCAATGCGAGACTGAAAGGAGATGTGAGAAGAACACCAGAGCCATGAAGTAACAATTTTCACAGACCAATGTGTATGCATTCTGCCAATTATGCAATCAACAAGCAAACTGTCTTGTAATCAACTTCCCTAAATCTAAGATCAATGTAAATTATTTCAACTTTTCTCCCAATGTATATGCTGAAATTTCTGATGCACAGACCTACCTACACACACACACACACACACACTAATTGACAAATGCGCCAATGGTAACGAAAGGAGAGAGTTGGAGTTTTTCTTTCTACCAGTTAGCTGGATGGAGTATTAGCTGGCTGAGTGGAAGGTTGGAGCACAACATTATTGTATTTTTATCTTCAAAGTAATCTTCTGAGAGAGGCTGAAGTGAGATATGGTGACTTTATACTGTACAACTTCACTTTACAGCTTTCCCATTTCCCCCTTAGCAAAACACTAATCCTACTCCCTCAATATTTTTACTCAAGTATGTCTCTCTTCTAAAGTATTTCAGCTTGAAACATAGATGTCTGTGTGCTTTTCAAAATTCCTTTCTATGTCATTCTATGTCATTTCTTTAAAAAAAACTGAAAGAAATGGAATCACTTAAATTATTATGATGCACACATAACATATTCTATGTATGCATCTTCAGTTCTTTTGCTACAGAATGACCTTTTTGCACACTCTGAGTATTGTGTATTCTTCCTAGAGTGACAGTAGTAAAATAGCACTTAAAGAACACCTTGTTGTTGCTGATGCATTTTTGCTTTGGGAGCTTTGAGAAACGAAACAGGAAAGAAAGACTAATATAGATGCCATGTTAATTTTTCATTAGCTTAAGGTCACGAGACAATAAAAAAACTAGATCCAGTTTTCCACAGCTTCAGTTTTCAGAAATAATGACTAAAAAAATGAAAACAAGGAAATATAGAAAATAAAATATTTGTGCATGTTAAGAGTATGCAGCCCAACAGAACTTATGATCCATTCAGAACAAAGAAGGGTTTTTTCATCATATTGAACAATGGTTTCTGATGTGGCATACATTGTATGGTTTTATTAAGTTTTATATTTCAAATCAAATAAATCACCCTACTTCAATTACTCTATCTCACCTAGAACAAAAACATTGTTATTGATACAATATTGGTATTGTATTGATACTACAACATATAAGTTTCACCATTCAGATGACTATTGATGATTAATTGATTATGTCACTGATGACTCTTAGCAATCACATAGAGATAATATAGGACTTCAATAATCCTAGTGGTATTTTTTTACATATTTCTACTTCAGCTCTATTGAGAGTTTAACTACTGTCAGCTTTCTATTTTATAATTTGAATGTATTTATCATGAATGTATTTTTCTTCACTTTATAAATTTTTGGGTGGTAGTCAAATGCGGAATATAAATTATATTATCATTATAAGTCAATCTATAAGTCACATTTAAGAGAATATGAAGGACTTTGTGAAATTCTATATATCAGATATGTTTATTACAAAGAGGCTGAAGAACAGGATGGGTGCCTGTGAGCCTAATGCACCAATCCATATTTACATTTTTCCCAAAACAAATATCTTCTACCTTGCCGAGAGTATAGAATTCCTTATATTACTGCTTTTGGAAGTGCGGGTCTAGAGACCACCGCTGGTCAATGGAAATCCTCCCAGTGGACTATGCAGCCTCCCTACATTCAACAGCCAGAGCCTATTTCCAACAATCAGCTGATACCCTATCAATGGACAAGGGTGCCAGAGCTAAATCAGTGAGTACTGTGTATGGCCGGAGGCTTCCAACAGTTAGCTGGCCAGAGTCTGCTCAGTGCCGCAGCCACCAACGCAAATACTATTATAAATACGTAATTCTGGATTGTACATTTTGGTATGAATATTAGTTTTAAAAGGCCTTTTAAAATGGAATAAGAAGGCATACACAAATGCAACAATATTTTACTTAAAAATCCTCTCCCATGCTCACAAAGATGAGCATGTAAGAAGGGGGTATCTAATGTGGCATTCACCTTCCAAAAGGAATGTAAGGTAGACCACAATTTTATGAGACCCATACCTTTATGTCTGGGAACTGGCCAAGATAGGTGTCCATAGTCAGCAGTGCCTGATCTACCAGTTTCTGATGGAAGTCTGTCCAAAGCAGCTCATTGTTCTGGAACAGAATAGGAGTAATATGGGAAGAGTTGGGTTATCTGTGCATTATGCAGGTCAAGTTCAACTATGTGATCAAAAGTACAATAACAGTGAAATACATTTCATCCCTAGTACTGGTTAAGTGAATTCATAAGGCAAATTATTATTTAAAGCTTCCTTTTTTTTTTAATTTGATTTATATGCCGCCCTTCTCCGAAGACTCAGGGCGGCTTACAATGTGCTCAGCAATTTTTAATATGCATATGTGTAACACCATTAGAATCTATTCCTAAAACTGTCGTGTTTTTGTTTTCTAGACAATTGTAATAGCTACAATTATTTAAAAGAGTTGGACAAAGATACTGGTTTTGTGCATCTTCTACACCAGCGGCCCCCAATTTTTTTGGAACCAGGGACTGGAATCGTTGAAGATAATTTTTCCATGGACCAGGGCAGGGGGAATGGTTTCCATTTCATTCACTTGCCTGCTGCTCATTACCAGCTCTGTGGCTCAGTTCCTAGCAGGCCACGGACCAGTACTGGGGGTTGGAGACCCTTGTTTTATACAACAAGGAAAGCTCTAACTGTTGAATTTCAACCCGCCATGAACAAAATATTTACTTGGAATATTTGCTATATGACAAATATTCCTGTGCCTTTTTTTCCTATCTCTACAGTAGTTTGGATCTGTTGTGGCCCATCAGCTGCCAGCAGAGCTAGCAGCAGAGTCATAGGAGGAGGAGGTTGAGGGGGAACCTGAGCTGGCTTCGGAGCCTCTGGAAAGCTCTGATGAGGAAGCAGGATCAGAGGCAGATGCAGAGCCGGGGCCTTCCATTCTCCCCCAGGTGGAGAGGCAGCTGTCTTTGGGGCCTAAGCTGAGTGAGGGGAACAGATGGGGCCCATCCCAGATGCGTGCATGTGTAGGGTGGAAAGGAGAGGAAAGAAATAGAAGGCAATAAGCCGGCTCTAAGGGAAAAGAAGACATAGATGCTAGCCAGCCCCTCCCTGGCTGGGAAATAAATAGTAGGAGTTTGGGAGTGGCTGGTTGTCGCAGACAACCGTTCGTTTTCCAGTGTACATCAATCACGTCGGATTCCTTTGCCAGAACCAGTCTCTTTGTCAAGACTAACACTCTGTATTTGAGTTCCCAAAGGAATCTCCCTGCTGGAAAATAATAGGGAATGCATTTGCCTCAGCCGATGCGAACAGAGATTGTTCTTGCCCTGTCTTTAGAAGGGGAAAAGACTTTCATTTTGGTTTTGTTTATCCAATGTGAACAAAGACTGTTCCTGCCCTGACTTAAATTAAGGGTTTGTGTTACTCGTGAGTAAGCGGTTTCTCATTGCTTGTGAAAGCTGAGTCAGAACAGCATTTTATGAGATATAAATTCACTCTTGCTTTTTTCTAAGCAGCTACAATATCAGCAAGTGCCTAGTGTCCACGTTAAATTGGAAAACATTATTTGCAGATACTTGGGATCAGTACGGTTCCCCCCATCTGGTTTCATACTGTCCGCCTGTGAATGTAAGAGATATGCTATTTGCTTCTTGTTCATGTGTGAAATTTTTGGTATCGGGAAAAGGATATCGTTGTATCATAGAACACACTGGCACAATTTGTGCATGATGTAAAACAATAGATAAGCATAGTGAGACATAGCCAGCTCAGGATTTTTGGTTGAATACTCCCTCATTCCTCCTTTGCTACAACAGGGACAAGGAGGAGATTGGAAACACCATCTTCTAACCCCAAAGTTTACTCGACACAACAAAGACTAGCTGTAATTAATTCAAACCACGGTTCATTAAAACAAAGCAGGATTAAATCATGGCCTATGACCATGGCATCTTTCAATAAATTAACACTTGGTAAACCAATTGATAAGTCATCAAGAGGAAGTGATGGCTTCTCTTCCTTTCCTTGTGGCAGAATATGCAAATCTAAGATATAAGCACATCCATTTGTGTAACACTGCACTGTGGTTCAGCAATATTACATATCACCCAAATCCATTCAATATGTGCCGTCTCCACAAATTTGAGATCGCATGCTCATGCTCATGCGTGAGAAATCCAAACCTCACCTCTGCTATTTTGTTAGTGTCATCCCTTCCTGGCCACTCGGGTTCATATACTTCTTGCAAACACTCTGTAAGTCTCTTGGAGGCTTCATGCATTGCTTTGAAATAGAAAAGAATGACATAATAGTACCCAAATAATTATCCACCCCGTCCCCTAAGAAAAACCCAAGCAAACGCCTTGCTCACATATAAAAGGACTTGATAATATTCATCATATTTGTTTTCCAACAAGAAAAAAAAATAGATGAATAAAAAAAAAACTTGGTCACACACATCAATTCCCTTTTTTCTTTAATTTATTTCTTTAATAAATGAGTGAAATCAAGTTCCTTTTTTAAATTGATAATTTCTCATTTCTGACCCTAGTATAATTTAAGAAAGAGTTTCAAATATTTGGCTGAGATGATAGATAGATAGATAGATAGATAGATAGATAGATAGATAGATAGATAGATAGATAGATAGATAGATGATAGATAGATAAAGAGTTATTTGTTCTTCAACATTATACTGAAAGATTAAAATAGGAATTAGTCTGAGCTAAGTTTTGTGGAGCTTTTTTAAGGTAATAAGAAGAAAATTAAAAGGAGGGGACAGGATCCCATCAGAAAGAGGAGATTTGCATTATGATTGCTTATCTCTCCTGCTTCTTGGAAACTGAAAAGTATAACCTATGTCGTTTAATTGTTATTAAGCAAATGAATAACTCCAAGCTTTCAAGCCTTTTTGGGACCTAATAGTATGCCAAGAGCCATGAGAGCATCTCCCCCACCCTTTATTATCCTCTTAATATCCTAACTTATGAGACAATACATAGCTTGAAGCATTTATAAAATATGAGTAGAATCTATCTGTAGCACATCCTTAGGAAATGTTTCTAGATTATACTACAAATAAACAACATTTGCCCTGCTCCAAATTTTTCTTGACCTCCACTATACTCCAACCATTACTTAGTTCCATAATTATAACTTTTTAAAGTAATGCAGATAGTACTACCCAGCAGTAATAAACAAAACCAAGTAAGATAAGCCTTAATAGTGGCTTCTGAAATTTACTTCACTGAAGATTATGCAAAAGCAGTAGGACTATTATTCGAAGTATTACCTTTAACTGAAGTCAGGTAGGTCCGGAGATCCTTCTGTAGCTTGGATCCTTCTGTCTAAAGAAAAAAAAGTGAACAGAATTAGTGAGTAAGCTATTATAATAACAGGTCACAATAGTTTGTTTTGATACAAATTTCCAGTGTTGGTGTTCATCTTTAAAATCTTTAAAAAGAAAGGCTAGAATATTGCTTTTCTCTTAAAATGAACCCGTCTAGTTTCTAAGATTAGCTGTAGAGACAACTCCCCAAATTAGCAGAAATTTGTCTTTTTAGATATGATGTCTTCTTTGTAGAACATTTATCTCTGGAAAGCCATATTAATTTCCTTTAGGCTCCCAATTAACTATTGTTTTTGTTTTTTAAAACTTTTAATTTAATCAATTAAATGATTTTCAGTCGTTTATATAATTCCATATTGCTTTTATCTACATATACGGTCAACCTCAAATTTACAGTACGTAGAGAACGGTCACATCAATATTACTAAAGAAAACTTTTCATTTTGAATGATGAATTTGTTTCAATCTAATGGCCAATGTTGGAGTTGGGCAACCTAATTTTTACAGCTGTTTGGAGCTGGAATAAAGCAGGAATCTCCAGGTTTCCTATCTCCATACATCAGGTCAGCAAAGTATTTTTCTTCTTGAGAGCAAGGCTTTTAAAAATTGCACTCTCACTGGCTTGAAACATGGTCTCCATCAAGGGTTGACAGCCAAGGAAGAACCTCTTAATTGCAACAGGGATGTAAGTCATTTCTGGCCCGCTCCTCCATTTTAACATTTAAATACTCAAAGTCCCCCAACCAATATCTCCAGCATAATTCCAATTCTGCAAATCCTCTGCATATGGGATAATATAATCCTCAATGTGCATCTTCAAAGACAGTACAAAAGAAAAGAAATGGTCGAATACTGGGCGTCCCTTCCCACCTAACATCAACAAAAGCTTGATGGAATGCTCTATGGCCATGGGAACAGCTGTGACTTTTCAAAAGGAAGGACACAGGCAGCTGGAAAAAGAAAAATCTATCTAGCATCTGCTTGTACAAAAGATTGCACTTCCCCTTTCCTTTTATCTTCATAAAGGGGGAGTTTAAAGAGAGGAAGCTTATACAACATCTGTTTCAGGAGGTACCAGGCAAATACATGTTTCCTCCTTGCTCTTACTCTAAACACTAAAAGTGTTTATGTCTTCATACTTTATCTTGCGTTTTTAAAATAAAAATCATAATAGGGTTCCAATTATCCAAGGCTTAAATGTATATGTTTCTGAAATGTTCAGATATGCACCAATTCTGTTGCTGATGTTGACTCTGCATTCATTGTACTGAAAACCCTTATAAAATGAGTGGGATAATCTGTTTACAAACTTTAGCTTAGCTTTGGAAACTATCAATTACAAATTCTTTCTGTATTCGAGGTCTCCAGAAGGAGAGAGACAGGGGTATACTATAGGCTGTGCTGCTCTTTATGCCAACAAGACCATAATGTCAACAGAAAATTGAACAGAAACAGATTCTTCCACATAATCACCATAGGTGCCAATACAAGCTCCCAAAATAATGTATTAGGAATGCAACAGTTCCAGAAATGTTGAAGCAATGGGGGGGGGGGCGGGGAAATAATAATAGACTCTCCTTTAATTGTCTGGGAATAGGGAAATAAATACTTGGCAAACGAATGAAATAAACACAGTACTTAACTCTGAAGCCAATTTGAATTTTAGTTGTTTAAAATTTGTATTATGTATAGCTTGATTTGCTTATGCAAATATATTTGTTGTAAAAATTGAAAAGTATAATTTAGCAGTTGCACATTGACTGGAGCCATCTTTTAAATTTTTTTTAAAAAATGTTTGCACTCATGTCAGAAGCATCGAGGAGCTTCTGGCTTGTAAGGATTGCCCTGTTGGGGCCTCCTATCATGTCCCCAGCAGGAGCTGGAGTGAAGGACGAGAGCTCACCCTGCCCCACAGAAGCATTTGGGCCTCAAACACAGGCTTGCTAACCTCCAATCAAGTGTCCTAACCACGAGTCACCGTACTCCCGACTGGAGCCATGTTGAAATATTTTCAGTTTTAAAGCTGCTGAACTCTAAAATGTGTCTCTTTCCTTCACTTCTGCATGTTTTGAAGAAGCATCCCAGCCAAAGTTAATGCTGAGAATCTGTTGTGGCTCCGTTACCGGAGCCTGTGTCATCGTCAGGCGAGGACTCTGAGGGTGAAGGGGAGGAGTTGGCAAGGCCTCCCTCTCCAGGACCCTCCTCTCTGGCGGACACCGAAGGGCAAGAGATAGGGCCAGGGCCAAGCACATCCACGCAGCCACAGATGGACAGTGATGAGGGTAATGAGTCTTGGCTGGACCCACGCCAGCGTCGCAGATATAAGCGCGCGCAACAGAAGAAAGGGTGTGCCCGAGATTAGGCTAGTCACTGGACCACACCCCACAGGATATAAAAGGGAGCGTGGTGGCCAGTCAAACCTTGTGACGAACAAAGCTGAAAGCTTCCACGCCATTCTGCATTGCCGGACTTTTGCTTTAAGACTTGACGGGATTATCTCTGGACTTGATTGTAATTATTGAGCTGATTTCCTTTGATGTATCAGAAGTGGGGAGAAGTTATCTCTCCCCTTTGTAAATAATAAACTCTTGGCAGGCAGCCACTAGGTTGTTGCCAAGTTCCGTTATCATAAGGAAAAGGATTTTGCCGGCTGGTTTGGTCTTTAACTCCTGAACGTCTGTTGGTGTGTGTGCGTGGGGTTGGGGACAGAACAGAATCATGGAGGCCATCAACACTGTAATGATATGCCAGTGGTAGTGCTGAAAAAGCAGCGGACTCTGGTTACACACTAATTGCAGACCAAGAAACAGAACTCAAATGGATGATCAAGCTGAGTGATGTTTAATCTGTTTTGGCATCATTATGGTACCCTTAAAAGCTCATAGATAGGAAGTATTCTAGTTCTATCTTTGTTAGGACAAGTATCCACTGTAACATGAAGCACTTTTACTGGCTAAGGCTAATGCATCAGTTCTAATGCTATAACGAGATAAGAAATAGCATTATAGCTAAGTAAAAGGGGTCATATGAGAGAGACACAGAATTTTGCCTATTATAGAAAAAGTGACTGAAACAGATTTTTTTTCCTTCCCACATAGTACTAAAATCCAAGGTCACTTAATGAAGCTGTATGATGGGACATACAGAAAAATAAAATGAAGCACTTTGTTAAAGTAGCATATAAAATATGGAATTCATTACCACAGGAAGTTATCATGCAAACTAGACTGACAAAGAACAAAGGAAGTGTTTATGTACATATGCTACTAATCACGGGTATAGATCAGTGGTGAAATCCAATTTTTTTACTACCGGTTCTGTGGGTGTAGCATGGTGGGCGTGGCATAGTGTGGCTTGGTGGGCATGGCATGGTGGGTGTGGCATGGGAAGGATACTGCAAAATCTCTATTCCCTCCCCAGGTTAAGCTTATTCTTCAAATTTAGGAGTATATGGGGAATAGACAGCTTAGCGTGACCGATCAGGAACAGCTGGGTTTCTCTCTGACACTCAAGCACATAAGAATGCAGGAAAGACTATCTTTCTGTCATTATGCATCCATTAAGTCTTGAGCCTCATCAAATGTTTAATGCTATTAACAGAACAGAAAGGAACAGGAAAGATAAGGTGATGTATTTAATACCAACACTTCATTTGCTATTTAGAGATATGGCAGATGAACACTTCAGGTCCAGCTCACAATTTGCTTTTTTGAGATTCTCACTGATTTTGAGGCTCATTAATTCTGTATACCTCAAAGAACTTCGGTGGATGCCATAAAACAGATGGGAGATAAATTATAGTGACTAGAAAGAATACACTGTCAGAGAGAACAAACAAGTTATTCTCATCAAAGCAAGAACATACATTAGATTATATACGTTAACCTACAGTAACTATCATTAAAGTGCTTTGCAAGATCATTCACAGTATTTGCTTCTTTCTTTTCCTCTCCTTTGCCAAAATAGACACAGTCTGGGGCAGAAGGCTCTGTGCTTAATTGCAGTTCCTAGATATGGGAAACTAATTTATTGGGAAATATTCTTAACATGAATATTTTCCCAGACAGCAATTTCCAGAAGTGGGAATTTATGAGACTACAGCGTAACTGTTCTCTGTCAATCGACCAAGAACAACTCCCACTACTACAACTGAAGAAGTTAAGCAGTTCCAAATGTAACTATTTGTTGAAGGAATAATGGGGGGGGGGGATCTGCTGATTAAATCAGCAAGTGCAGCGAGCAAGGCAACTCTTAGCCAACACAGTAAGATTCCCTTCCAAGCACATTCATATGCTATGTTTGAATACCTATTGAACATTTAAAGCATTCCATAGACTTCATGTATATTTCTATTCCCTAAAATAATGCTACTATTTTGAATGAATAAATGTCCCTTTTTGCTTTGTTTTAAACATGTATTCATTCCTGTTTATAATGTCCATCTGAGAGCTGTTTTACAATGCAAACATTGAAACACTCTAGTTGCTTTGATAGTTGCGGGGGGGCTGTTTTTCCTTTTAAATGATAGCATGAGTGAATAGGAGCATGCTCTAGCGGGGTTTGTGTTTATTTTCTTATATTTTAATCTATCCTGGTAAAAAAAAAAAAGTAGAAGCTGTTCTGAAGAACTATGCAAAGGACAGATCAAGTGAAGGAGAAAGTCTTCTTCTGCTTAGCTCCAGTTGTGCTGTTCGTCAAACTGCAGAGGTACCTCAGATTACTGGAATGTCCTAGCCTCTGCCAAAAAAGTCAACCCATGTTTGGTTTACATGACGCGTATCAAGGTCAGCCTCTAAGCTAACAGGGAGGTGCATCTCGTGCCATTTGCAGGATGAAAGGAAGCATGCCCATAGATCTCTGAATGGACATACAAGGTATTTAGAACAAGATTCCCTTCCCATTCAGGAATAAGAAAAAGTTGACAGTGTAATGCATGAGCGAGAGAGCTAATTTTATATCCCTTCCATTTCACAGCAGACCTCGTGCCCACTTGACTGTACAAAAACAGGGTCTTAGCTCAGGGCAAAGCAAAGACAGCTGTCTGTTTGTCTTCCCAGCAACACAGCAAACAATCGGCCCATTGTTCAATAGATGCCATTTCTACCCTTCCTCGACTCCAGTTTAAATAGAGAAAGGTCTCTGGCTTCATAAGATCGACTTCCTTTAGTACTTATATTTCCTGTAGCTAGCATAAATGTGGTTTCTCAGACCCAAATATAACCCCAAAGCAGGCAGGATAATGAACAGTGAAGTAGGTAGTCTCGACAAAACTAAAAGCCTTATAGCCAGAAGGTGCCACATGTCTACCCAGAGAGTAGCAGTGACTAGCTAGTAATAAAAAAAGGAACACCACAGCTGCAGTGACAGGTGTTGGTCACCACTTCATCCTTTCTTCTATTTGGGGCAACCAGCTAGACAATATAAATTTCTAGATGGTCGTGTTATGTTTACTTTTAAAATATCTAATGATCTTCCTTAGGAAAATTATGTTTGTCACAATTCATGTAATTGATTAGCAAACCAGCTCTGTTTGGTATGATTGTATTTGTATGATTTTGTAAGCTTTGTATGATTGTGGTTACAAAGCCTTTTTTTTTTAAAGAGGCCTTCTTTTTGTATTTAATCAATATTCCCCTTTGGGTTTTATTCTTATATAAGGGTAAACTTTGTTTTTCTGGCCTCAAATATTTTTCCCCGGGGGGCGTTGTGTTCTTGTGATATCCTGTGAGATTTCAGCAATTTTACCCTGATCTCAAATGATCCTGAACAAGAATGCTGAATTCTCATGAGAATCTAACCAAGAACACTGACTTTTAAAGAAATTGCAATGTTTTTTTTTTCCCTAAAAGATCATATAAGCTTTTAGCATCATTTAAGCTTATATTAGCCGGTAAACTTGTAAGTTTTCATTTATTTTATTTTTAAGATGTTTTTATTTAAATCCATGGAGAGGGATCCATGGGAAATGTTCAAGATGCAATGGAAATCCATGATGCCAATCCAAGTGCTAACATTAATCAAGTAGAAACCATTTATAAAACACGGAATGCCATGATGAGGAGAGGGGAGATTGTGTACTCCTTTACAAAAACGCACGTGACTCTTTAAAATTTGATAAATAAATAAATAAAAGCCCTCAAGAGTTCTGTTTTCTGAAAAACCTTTCAATTTAGGGTCTAAAATTATGCAGTGTAAGGGTTGAGGCTGATACTTGCAAGATGGGAATTTGAATCTCAGGCAAGACAGAAGAGTTTTGTAAACTCTAAGCAAGCATCACCCAATCTCAAGGCCAGAAAAGCTATGACCAACTTTCTGTTGATTTGAAAATGCAGAACATTTAGATTTTAAAATATGAGCCAAAATACTCACACCAACTTTTGGTTTCTTTATTACAGGTAATCCTCAATTTACAACTGTTCATTTAGTGTCTGTTCAAAGTTCCAATGACACTGAAAAAAAGTGACTTATGGCTGTTTTTCACACTTACGACTGTTGCAGCATCTCCATGGTCACATGATCAAAATTCAGATGCCTGACAACTGGTTCATATTTATGATGGGTGCAGGTGGACTTGTTCTGTCCCAGCTACAGACCCCAAAGAACGCAGCACACACAACGTCTGTACAAACATTAGTTTACTAAATTAAATCAGTCTTTTTCAAACAAAGGCTGTTACTTAACTTTCTTAACAGCCTACAAGAATCCAAGAATAAATAATCATAATCTTACTATCATTGGCAGAAAGCCCAGAAGCAATTTGCAGGACACTGATAAAAGAACTAAGATCCAGACACAAAGGAGAGTGAATTAAGTTGTTCCCTGAAAATTGCCTCAGTCTTCATCCTTCCTTAAATAGGCTAAGGGAGTGGCCAATTACCCCCAAACCTTACTGTCGAGGAGACCTCCTCCTGAGGAGCCACTCCTGCCTTTTGGTAGCTCTGCGCGCTTGTGTATCGAGAAGAGGCTCCTCCTCTTCGTCCTCTTCACTTAAGGGAGCTTCTGGAGGTTCTGAAGGCCCTGGCTGAATCCCCGCCTCTGGCACCATATCTTCTCCAGCCTCCTCATTGTCCGACTCGAGTGCCAGCTGAACAGGCTGCTGGCACAGCACCACACCAGCCTCCTTGCTGTCGGAATCAGCTACTAGCTGCACAGGCCACTGACAGGCCACAAAAGGACTGGAGTCATATGAACAGCTTTTGTGAGCTTTTGACAAGCAAATTCAATGGAGAAGCCAGTTTCATTTAACAACCATGACACTAACTTAATAACTGCAATTATTCATGTAACAACAGTGGCAAGAAAAGTCATAAAATCACATTATTTTCCCACTCTGCCATGCTTACACTATATTGTGAATTTTGTCAAGCACCAGGGAAATCAGAAGATTCAGGCGGTTCAAATGTGCATAGAGATTTATTGCAAGCTTAAGGTCTCTATAAGAATCTGAACTACTAATGGTCAAGGGAAATTAGCAAGAGTTAAAAATAGAAAGGAATTCAAGGATTTAGATATCTTGTGGGAGCACAGGGACTCATGATGGATGACATGTTTGACTCCTCCCTCGGGCTCAGCCTGGTCATCTCCTACAAATTCGTGCTTAAACTTATTTTAATGGAAACACTTGCTCACACGGTATTGAAGAACATGTCTACTTTATGCTTATAATACAAAAAAGCAGCAAGATGGATTCTTAAATATGGCTTGACATTTCAATATAAGGGAAACTACTTATTGCATGAATGTAAGCTAAAAACACATGATTTCAAAAATTATATCACATACTCAGTGAAATTAATGTATGTATTATTTATAACTAAGCAAGAAGGTGACCTAACCAGCAAGATTTTTGCTCAAAATGGCCAAACCTCTTTTCTGCACACACACAGAACCAACTAGTGTTTGGGGATATGGCATCTGACGATGGGCTTTGCATTTTGAAGTCCCTGATAGTTCATTTACTACTCCTTTTAAAACAATTTAATAGTTACAGTGGTGCTTAAAAGTGTATGGCTTTAACTACTTAATTTAGTAATTACTTAATTACTTTTAATTATTCAATATTTCTGCATAAATATGACCTGAAACACATTCCACATATGTTCTAAAATGAGTTAAATTATATAATAAATAAATTAAAAAAGAGAACCCAAGTAAACAAAGACATTATAACAATATAAGACAATATTTTTGTTCATTGTTCTACTTGCATTTTTTTAATCTCCAAGTTTTCTACACGTTCGGTTGAATGGGATATAGTCTGTTCCATGCACATCTTTTGGGAGAGGGCTAATTTGTTTGACTTTTTGTTATTTTTTTATCTTTATGTTATTTATTTATTATTTTATGTTATTATCTCATAACAATGTAATTTTACGTTTGGATGATGCATTTTTGCAATTATAGAGCAGAAAATGCTCAATTATATTTGTATGGCGACATATGTTATATTCTAACAAGAACTGGGAAAGAAAGATAATTATCTGCTCTGTTGCAGATTAAGTAAGTTATCAAAGACACAGAGGTTTTAAAAAGAAGGCTATCTGCATTTTTAAAATACTGGAATCAATTCCCTGTGAATACAGGGAGGGAAGAATAGTTACAACAATCAATCAATGTCTCTAAATTTTGCCAAATAATCCTTGAAACTTTTATACCACGCTGGAATTGAAGTACTGTACCCCAAATCCATTCCTGACAATATGGCATTGGTTTGGTACCAATTAATATCAGGGAAGGAAAGAGACAGATCATAAATTAAAAGAATAAATGAACAAATTTTATTCATTTATATATTTATAAAATTTATATGGCCACCCATCTCATTGTAAGTGATTCTGGGTGGTGTACAACAATCAGTGAATAAATCCTTAAAACTGACTTACCAGCTGTTTGTTAAAGTTTTGCACACACTGTTCAAATTGCTCATCTTTTGTTTCATCCGCTTTGCCAAGTTTCTGGAGGACCTATAAAAGCACATGAAAACAAGGAAGAAGTGAATGTTTACAACCACACAAAAAAACCCAATATTTTTTGTTTATTTTAAAACAAAAATAACAGAAAAAGTAGGACTGGGGAGTAGGAAGAAGCGCAGCTTAGGTTAAGTACAGTCCAATCCGTTGTAGAGCAGATGCTCCAACTACGATCAGTGCCAAAGCCAGTTCAAGATTTTGACCAGGATGGAGAGTCATCCCAACATAAAAATGAGGGGAAGATGATCCAAAGGACCAGTTCATCATAAGGTAGCATCACAGGTTGAGGGAGAACTCTTCAGCGTATATCTGAGCTTATCCTTTCAAAACGATTGGTGCAAAACTCAACTGAGAGCTTAGCATTTTTCTTCACAATTTAACGTTGTTATTGAGTTATAAGATAAAATAAAGATACAAAATATGAAAGTAAATAGGAAAGCAGTGGGGAGAAAAGGCGGGAAGAAAAGTGAGGAAGAGTTGGGAAAAAGAAAAAGAAGCATTGACTTCCGACTCTATTACAGTCAAATAAGGTATTATCATCAAACCACAACTTTTTTCATAATAATATAAACTAGCCATTTCTATAAAGATCTATTAATCTAATCGGTAAAACCCAAAATCAAAGTTTCATTCTTTTCCACTTCAAGCACAAAGTTCAGAAGCAGTCCCCATGTGGAAACAAAAGTACTTATATTCTTTTCTGTAATCAAAATAGTCAATTTTGCCATTTCAGCCAACTCCATCAGTTTCTGCAGCCATCCGTCCTTCCATTTTTGTGCATATAATAATCTTTCTACTGTCAACATATATAGTGTTCCAATTTTTTTCTTCAAGTCTTTTTCCATTAGGCTCAAAAAGAAAATTTATGGTTTCATCTTTATCTTAATTTTCAGAATTTTCTGTATGAAAATATGAATCATGCTCCAAAAATTTTTTTTGCTTTATCGCATGTAGAGAGAAGCTTAGCATTTTTCTTAACCAACTTCATTTTCTGCTAAAATAAAAAGAAGAAATGGCTAATGAGACCATTGGGGCAGAACCTACCCATTTTATCCATCTACATTCCATGACAGGAGGGGGAATATGTGGCCTTTCAGAAGTTGCTTTCAGGAGCCAGCCTGCTGACTGATAATGAAGACTGCTGGAAACTAATTTAGCAACATCTGGAAAGCAATCAGTTTTTCTTCAGCTCTGCTTTCTATAACATAAAGGGGAAACTGTGTGGGCTGCAGGTTTTTAATTAAATTAATTTGCTGAAATTTAATTAGAGAGGCATGGCACTGAAAAGTCAAAAGAATAGGAAAGCAACCCTGTGCAGTGCAATTCTGATCCCCTTGCAAAAACATTAGGGCATCTTCCCTACAAAATGGTTCTTTTGTGAAATACAGAAGGATTAAGTTCATATGCAGAGCACAGAGTTATCACTCTTGGATTTATGAGAATTGAATACACTTCTGTCTAGGATTAGAAATAGCCTCCGGAGACTCCTGTCATAGGGACGTGATTCTGTCATCAGGAAGGACCAGAATAACCATGGCAATCAGCCAGGCCTCTCTTAGCATTGAGAGACCCTTTTTAACAATGCAGTTCACACACCATTTGAGGCAAAGTAAAATTTAATCAAGACACTTCATTTATCAGCCATTTCCTATTAGAGCTCTTTGTATGGAGTCAAGTGTGCTGCTGCCATGGCGGGTGGCCTACAAAAGCTAACTCAGGGCTGGCTGCCTGGCTGTCTTGAATGACTGCACAGACACAAGTAATACTAGCCACAGTGTCTGTTGTTGACTTTAATTGCCTGCCCCTTCCCCTTCATACACTGATGACGGCTTTAGACATTATGTATTTTTTTTAAGTGAACATGTAATCTATTTTGTACGCACTCCAAAAACCAATACATGTTGATACAATAACCAGCTATAACAAAGACCAGGTATGACCATTTGCCAAGTTTAATTAATTTAATTGTGTGTGTGTGTGTGTGTGTGTGTGTGTGTGTGAAAGAGAGAGAGAGGGAGGGAGAGGGAGAGGGAGGGGGAGAGAGAGTGTGTGTGTGTTTAATAAGCAAAAACTCAAAACAGTCCACAGACAGTAAGTTCCTGCACAGCTATGCCATCAAACTATTTGTATGCTACTATGGAAAAAGTATACCCCAGCCTAGTTGTGTCTGACTCTATGGAGCAGTACTCATCTCCATTTCTTAGCCAAGTGAGCCAGTATTTTCCGAAGACATTTCTGTTGTCAGGTGGCCAGCATGACTATACGCCAAAGCACACGGAACCAGTGGTGGGTTTCAAAAATTTTTACTACCGGTTCTGTGGGCATGGCTTGGTGGGCATGGCTTGGTGGGCATGGCTTGGTGGGCATGGCAGGGGAAGGATACTGTAAAATCTCCATTCCCTCCCCACTCCAGGGGAAGGTTGCTGCAAAATCCCCATTTCCTCCCAATCAGCTGGGACTTGGGAGGCAGAGAATAGATGGGAGTGGGGCCAGTCAGAATTTTTACTACCGGTTCTCTGAACTACTCAAAATGTCCATTACCGGTTCTCCAGAACTGGTCAGAACCTGCTGAAACCCACCTCTGCACGGAATGCTGTTATCTTTCCATCGAAGTGGTACCTATTTATCTACTTGCATTTGCATGCTTTCAAACTACTAGGTGGGCAGGAGCTGGGGCAAGGATGTGAACTCACCCCATTGTAAAGCACTCGAGTCTCAAACCTAGGCTGTCAGCTTTCCAGTTAACAAGCTCAGTGTCTTTAACCTCTGAGCCATTGTGCCCCCAGTGTACATGTATATTCATAAGCAATAAACTATAGAATGTTTTTCTGTAAATAAATTATTGCAAGTTAGAGACCATGTTACTGATTTCTTCCGTTCTCATGCATAGAAGAGTAAAGAATTTGCTCATTTCTTTACTCTTCGTTTGGAAACTTCTTTAGAAAATACGTTTCTCCAAAATATTAGAATAAGGAGTAAAGCTATGGGGCCTGAGAAACTGCCATGGAGAATAGAAGAAAAGTGCTTAGGGAAGTGGTTAAAACAAATAGTGGATATAGAAGTGTACTCATTTATCCTAGCACTGATAATTCCCAGAGAGGATGGAAGGGGTCAAGGAATAAACCAGTTCCTACAAGCTCTCATTTCTGTTAAGAAATTCCTACTTCCTACTCTACTACAGATTGATTGTTGAAAGACTACATAATTAGAGACAAATCAAAATTCCTAATCAATTTACACTACAATTTTGAATTTGATCCTACGCACATATGTGCAGACAGCTGACTCTGTAATCCTGATTTTCAGAGTTTCATTTTCTCCGTGTGCACAAGAGTACTACTTAAGGCTGGTATTTAATGACTGAGTGGGTGGCTAGTTCAGCATCACCCTCTTCAGAAACCTTTTTCTATGCCCTGGGATTCTGTTACTGTTTGTCAGTCTTTCCTGAGCTTGTCAATATGATCCCAATTGACTTGTCCTTTTTCGTTACTTTGCCAGATTTCCTAGCATAAGCACGAAGAGTGCAATCTCTGTCCTAAATTGTAACTTTAACACTTTTCAAAGCAAATGTTTCTCTTACTTGCATTTCTTTCAACTCGATGTTTAACCTCTTCTTAAACCACAGTGAATTAAAAAGCATAGTAACTGCAGTGCCAATTTACTTGTTTTCAGTGTTATTCTCTTTATTGTTCTCTGCCTTGAGTACTATTCTTTGGAAGGTTGCAGAGTATATGTAGCAGACGCAGGCTGTTATCTTGGTGATGATTTCTGAGGGTTTGCCCCTGCAATCTTCCAGGATGTGTTTTTGATTTCATGAATTTGCCTGTAAACCTGAGATGTCCTGATAGTCTCCCATCCCAAAACTAAAGAGGCATGACCCTACCTAGCTTTTGCCTTCTTGAAATTATAAAAAATAGACCAGGCAGCAACTCTTACCCATAGAAAATAATTTCTTTTTTTTTTTAAACAAACTTTATTCGTATTTTAAAAAAGACATTTAAAATAATTATAAGAAAAACTGACAAGTTTCTCTTAATCAAACACACAAATTACATATACATATACAGTACATATATAGTGCTCAACTTCATCTATTAACTACTTTCTAATGTTATATATACATATATACATACGCACAGTGACTTATTTCCTTTTATATCTCTCTGACAGTGCAGTTGTTTATTTACATTGATTTCTCCTAACTTTCATCTCTAACCATTCCCTCTCTCTGACTTATCCACTGGTACCAGCTATTCCATATTTTAAAGTATTTTGAGTCTTCCTTATCCTGTAATTTTAGGGTTAATTTATCCATCTCTGCGCATACATAGATTTTCTGTATTACTTCCTGATCAGTTGGCAAACGGTCTATTTTCCAGAGTTGTGCCAACGCTAATCTAGCCGCCGTTATAATGTGGAGTATTAAGTATTTTATGTCCTTTCTAATATTCTTATTAATCATGCCGAGTAAAAAGACTTCGGGTGTTAATTCAATTTCGTAATTTGTTATTTCTAATATCCATGTTTTTATTTTGTTCCAGTATTTTTTAATTTCTGGGCAAAGCCACCAAGCATGGTAAAAAGTTCCCTGTGCTTTTTTACATTTCCAACAAGCCGGATTCACATTTGGATACATTTTTGCTAACCTTGCGGGTGGCAGATACCATCGGTACCACATTTTATAGTGATTTTCTTTGTAGGCTACCGATTTTGTCATGCTATAATTATCTTCCCATACTCTTTCCCAATCTTCCAATTGTATATTGTGCCCTATGTTCCTCGCCCAGGCTATCATCTGCCCTTTGACCAACTCTTCTGCCAAATCGTATTCGAGTAAATATGGTAAGTATTCGAGTAAATATGGTTCCGCCCCAGGCGCCTGATGGAACCTGACAGATTCCAGACGGATCTTGGGCCATTTCCTGAGGTTCTGGCACACGCCTCGACTGGAGACCTGGTGGCCGCCTGGGATAGGGCGGCTGCTGGAGCTCTGG